AATTTTCCTTGAATTTAAGTTTCAAAACTCATCTTTACTCTATTATGATTCATTTAGAATTTTTAGATCTTGATTTATTTCATTGAATCTTCTAAAAATATTTTTACAATAATTGTTTAACAGAACTCTATTTTTCAACTAAATTACTATTCAAGCAAGTGATGACGTCTATTTAATGTCAGCGCCCAATTTTCTCTAATTTTAAAAATATTTTCTTACTATTTTTCATTGTAAAAATCTTATAAAATCATATTGTTTGAGAAAAAAATAAAATTTAATTTGATAACGCACCCCTATGATTGACCTGAAAAATTCCCTAATATTTAGACCTTATTTTTCATTTAACTTGCTATATTTTTATAGGAAAAAAATTAAAATCTAAAAAATAGTTTTTTTAGTTTTATAAAGTTTAAATTTACATGATTTCAACTACAACAACTAAGTCATGTAGTTACATAATTGAAAATATGTGTAGAGTGTTGAAGATTAATTAGGCTTGTGTAGGAGATAGATAATGCTTATTTCTAGCTGGCTCTAACATTTTTCTTTGGCTCATGACTCCATGTGCTCCACACTTAAGCTCCTTAAAGTAATGCTCAGCTCCACTACCCATCATGCCAAAAGGGGCCAGCTTGTGCTCCAGTACCCTAGTTCTCAAGTTTCCCTCTCCTTCTCTCTCCTCTTTTCTCTTAAAAATCTGACATCATAATGGGCAAGTATTCGGCTTGATATTAGGCCTCATGTAATTAGTCCACTATCAAGCCCAATAGAATATCAAACTCAAAGTTCCCTTGGAAATTCTAATAAATCCAAAAAAATTCTAATTTTACTTCTATAGATTTTTCTACTTCTAAATATATATTTCTTCATCAGTAGGCTAAAACCACTATTAAATAAAAACCTTCATGATTCAAGAAAATACACATGCTATAGAATGTGTAAAAGTAAATTATTTATTCATGTATTTCTATAAATGGTTTTAGAATCACATGGAAACGGATCTATTTTAAATGTATGCTCTTATTAAAATCCTTAGACTTCAATTACATGAAATATGCACAAGTTTTAATGTATAAATGAGGCTTCATCAACTTGCATTCTAATATTTTTTGACAACTCAAGTATTACTTGAAATGGTGATATTTTTGTGATTTTAGGAAGTGAAGGCCTTAAAGAAATTAATGATTTTGAGAAAAAAATTAGTTGTTATCCAAGATATCAAATCATGACTATCAAATATAATGATTGAGCTAACATCTAAACACTTGACATTGATAAAAACTATCTTTTAAATATTTCTAATTAGTATACTTTGACCATCTTCAACTCTTTACTCATATATATTGGATTTAAGTGGTGGAGATTCTATCTTAATTCTGAAATAATGTGTCATAAGTATTGAAGGTAATCATTGAACTAATATCTCAACACTTGATATAGGGATTTTTTTTCTAATTATTATAATTTAATCATGTTTTCACATTTTTACTCATATATTTTGGATTTACGGTTTTACCTAGATCAAGAAGAGCAGGATTGAATTGATCATATACTTGTTTTAATTGAGTGAAAATTTCTAGTATTTTTGACTTTTTATTTTTTATCATCAGTTTATTTCGATTTCCTAGATATAAATCTTGATGAGACCAAAATTTTTAGAGTGTTTCATTTCTATGTCTATCTCCACTCTCTAAGAACCCTATTGTTGGGTTCCACTATGCTTAGTAACAATCCCTCATTATTGAAAGTAAGAGTTCTAAATCATCAACATCTAATATACTAAGTAAGCTTTAAAAGTAATATTTTACATCACACATTCACACAAAAATGAATGTCCAAATCATTACTTTTCATGGGTGACTTTTTTCCTAATTATTATTAGATTATAAATTAGTATATAGTAATGATTTTGAGAGCCAAATTCATCATAAAACAAAAAATTAAAATCATGAACATCAAATAAAATTATTAGGTTATCATCTGGTTCTTTGGCATCATTATTATGGACCCTTGATTAATTTATATTTATTTAATTTTTACCATGTGTCCAAAAGATTACTCATAAGTGATATATGAGTATATAATCTTAATGGTAATTCAATTCATTTATGTATCTTATTTTTCATCATCTAAACCTTTTAGGGTAGTTTGGGCAATTGAAGCCAATTTATGTCCAATTTAGAATATATGTTATATTGAGGCTGAATATGAAAGTACTTAGAAATTACTCAAACTAATTTTCTAAATTATTTTCATTGAGTACAGTCATGATATATGCTGCTAAATTATGTATTTGGGATTTGATGATATGAACTATGATGTCTTCATTATCATGAGTTGATAATTAATAAATAATATAGTTTTAGCTTTAACTCATGATAAATAGATTTATATTTATGATAAATTATAAAAGATAGTTTTATTTGGTTAATGTGAATTTTTGGCTAATGATGTGATTTATGCAAATTTATATAATTTTTAGAATCCTATTTTTGAGATAAATGAAGAAAAAGAAAATAAAATAAAAAGAGGGGACCCATTGGCCAGCCGGGCTCGCAAGCAAGTTGGAAGTGCAGTCAAGGTGGAGCCGCGAGCAGGGGCTCGAGTGACTTTGGACCGATGGGGGCATGTGTGTGTCACTCCTTTTCCACATCACCGGTGGCTAGCCGAATGTGGGGCAAGGAGTGGTCGTACACATGTGAGAAAGGGACTCATTGATTCCCAAATCTCATATTACTATATATTTGTCTCAAAACTCAACATATAATCGATGGGAAATTAAACCTGATTACACCTTCCTTGGAATAATTTTATGATTTTAATACAAAAAATATCCTTTATTTATAACAACAAGATATCATAATGATGTCACTGTATAAGGGTATTTGAGAACTTATTTTTTATTTGATTAAACTGTGATTTTTCTATAGATCATCGGTGAAGGATTAAGCCATCAGAATTGTTTAATTATCGACAAAAATCTCATCAACGCAATTCGCAGAATATTATTACAAAAATTACTGAACGATTCATGATAAAAAGATTACAAATCTATTGAGTAAATCATCTATGAATCATCGATGAACAAGTCGTCGTCAAGAAAAGGATGATCTATTTGGAGACAAGTTGCCACCTCTTGAGAGTGTACCAGATGCAATGAAGAGTCTTCTTTTGTTGCGTGGACTTGAGGGTGAAGCTCCCTAACACATACATGACCTCCATCCAGTTCCTCTCTGTCGGGTGATAGTTGACAGAGGGCCCCAAAATCGTCATTTTTCTACTTCGTCAGGTGATAGCTGCCGAAGATGATACGACGACCCATTTCATTGGTCTTCAGACTTTGTAAGAAGATCTAGAAATTACCAATATTGTCCTTGTCCAAGGAGAGCCTTTGAGGCCATAGACACTACATGACAATCCTCTCAAACACTTTGGATTCCAGTGCATTATCGACGTATTGTCACCGTAATATTGGAACTCTATTTTTCCTTCTTTTAACTTAGTTTTTGCTTCATTTAGTGAAAATTTGTGTGATTTAAATTTTCCAAACTACTCTTTATTCAATTAAGATTCTTCTAGTTTTTACAGATCTTAACTTAACTAATTAAATCATATGTAATTATTTACGTAAGAATCACCGAGTGAGACTCTATTTCTATTGGGTTTGCATTCGTCGGGCACTGACATCATCTTGATGCCTGCACCCCTTATTCTCTTTTTCATGAATTTTAAATATATTTCATGTTCATTTCTTAATCTAAAATTAATTAAAAAATCATATTCTTTGAGAAAAGTTCTAAAATATAACCTGATATTATATTACATTCCTATGATCAATCTATTTTTTTACTATTTTTGGAAGTTTTCTTGAAATATAATTGATATATTTATTTAAAAATACTTCTAAATATCTAAAAATTAGTATTTTCTAGTTTTATAAATTTTAAATTTACATGATTTACTATACAATGACTTGGTCATGTCAAATTTTGACATCATTGTCGGGGATCTTCTTTTAGAGTACACAAAGAAAATTAACTCTTATTTTTATTTTCTTCTTATAGAAAAAAGAAAAAAGAAAACAAAGAGCAGCAAGGTCCTTTAGAGCAAATTGAAGGAGAGTGACGTGACTTAGTCGTTGTATATTAAATCACGCAAATATAAAATTTATAAAACTAGAAAATATGAATTTTCGGATATTTAGAAGTATTTTTGAACAAATATATCAATTATAATTCAATAAAACTTCCAAAGAATACCTGGTCAATCACAGGGATGTAATATAATATCTGGTAATTTTCCAGGTCAATCACAGGGATGTAATATAATATCTTGTAATTATTCAGAATTTTTCTCAGAGAATACTATTTTATATGAATTTTATACTAAGAAATGAAAATGAAATATATTTAAAATTCACGAAAAAAGGAAATAAGATTGCAGGCATCAGGATGACATCAGCACCCGGCGAACGCAAATCGGGCGGAAACAGAGTTCCACCTGGTGATTTTTATGTAAGCGATTATAGACGATTTAATTGATCAAATTAAAATTGGTAAAAGACGGAAGAATCGTAATGAAATGAAGTATATGTTGGTAAATTTAAAATCAACAAATTATCACTAAATGAAACGAAAATTAAGTTGAAAGTAGGAAAACAGAGTTCTGGCGTCGCGACGGCGATGCGTCAGCAATGCACCAGAATTCTAAGTGTTCGGGAGGATCGTCGTGCAGTGTCTACTACCTCGAAGGCTCTCCTTGGACACGGACAACGTGGGCAATCTCTAGATCTTCTCGCGAAGTCTAGAGATTAATGAAATGGGTCGTCGAATCGTCTCCGGCGGTTGTCACCTGGCGGAGCGGAAATATGGCAACTTTGCGGCTCTCCGACGGCTCTCACCCGACAGAGAGGAGCTGGATGTAGGTGGGGCGCGTGTCAGGGAGCTTCATCCTCAGGTCCGCGCAGCAAGAGGAGGCTCTTCATCGCATCTGGTATGCTCTCAAGAGGTGGTGACTCGTCTCCCAGTGGATCGTCCTCTTCCTGACAACAGCTTGTTCGTTGATCAATCGGAGATGATTTACTCAATGGATTCGCGATCCTTTTATCACAAATCGTTCAACAATTTTAGTAGCAACGGTCCGCGAATCGCGTTGACGAGATTTTCGCCGATGATCCAGCGATTCTCGTTGCTTAATCCTTCACCGACGATCTAAAGGAAAGTCGCGATAATTAGATAAAAATATATGACTTTTTGACTTTGGGAGGATTCGAACCCGCGCCGGTTGTCCGCCCCTTTTGAGGAAGGTGTGACGCGGGTTTAGTCCCACATCGGTTGTACGCTGATTTTTCGAGCGAATATATAGTAATGTTACATTTCTAAGCAAAGTTCCTTCTCTCATGTGTACGACCACTGCTTGCCCCATAGCTGGCTGGCCACCGGTGACATGGAAGGGGAGTGGCGCACACGTGCCCCTATCGGTCCAAGCCGCTCGAGCCCCTACTTGCGGCTACTCCCCGACTGAGCTTCCGACCCGCTTGCGGGCCCGACTGGCCGGCAGGTCCTCCCATTTTGCAATATTTTAGTTTTATTTCTTTTTCTTCATTTATGTCAAAAGTAAAACTGTAAAAATCATATAAATTCATGTAAAATCACATATTTACCTAAAAAATCACATTAATAAACTGAAAACCACTTTTCACTCTTTAACATAAATATAAGTCTATTTATCATAAGTTAAGGCTAAAACTATATTATTTACTAATTATTAACTCATGATAATGAAGACTTATCATACCCCCCAACTTAAATCATTGCTAGTCCCTTAGCAATGGAATTACGAAAATAAAAATTTACAAATCTCAAACATCATATTTCAATACAGAAAAAAATAAATACAATTAGAAATGATGCACCTTTAAACACTTTGGATTCTTATATCAAGTATCTAAGAATGATGTCAAGAACTTAAATGTTTAAACACTCCTTGAAATAACAATCTAGACTTCACTTCTTCTATTCACATCTTTATCACTTCTTCACTCATAGATATATTTACAAGATGTTCTAATTATCAATAATCATCCAAGAATAATATTGATCCTACATTTCCCTTTTTCCATGGCTTGATTTTTGAAGTTTGCACTATATTTCTTCCTTCTTTTATAGTGGATAAGTAGCTTTTCCTGTAGACAAATTTCGACAATGAGAATGATGTCTCACACCCTCCATGTGTACTCTTCATTTTCAAGGCTTTCACTTTATCCACTTATTTTGCAGCAAGCATTTTTCTATACACGATTTTCGACAATGAGAATGATGTCTCACACCCTCTATGTGTACTCTTCGTTTCTAGATTTTTCACATTGCTCTCTCTCTTTTTTTTTTTTTTCAAAATAAGTGATTTCTCCTCACAAGTCCTATAGATCAAGGTGCAAAAATCTCCATTAAACTCAAATGATCAATCAAATTTTCACATCAAGTAAATACTATTCATCAAGATCATGAAGTGAAAATCTGTAAAATCAAATCCATATTATCGATCATGTATCCAAGGAGTATTCCAACATTTCATGCTACTAGATCATTCTTTTGAATCAATAATAATCTTCCTAGTATCTTTTGGTATCAATCAATCTAATTGATTTAATTTTTCATGCATGCAATATGATGTAGAAATTTGTAAATTAGATAGTTCTGACAGTTTTGTTTTCTGTTTTCTGTTTTCAGTTCTATTTTTAGCAGCAATAAATTTGTCAAAAATAAATCAAAACTATCTTCTTTATAGCTGTAATTTCGAATTTCAGTAATATATATCTAGGGGATTGAAATGTGAGGAAAGGGTCTCTATAATTTCAAATTTTGGGTTGTTTTTTCGTCTGCTTTTTTTGACAGTTTGTTATTCCTGACAGAAAACCAGAGCTTAAAAAAATAGATGTTGCAGTTTTTCCGAATTTTATTTTATTTTTAATTTTTTAGTTGCTGTTCTAAGTTGAATAAAATGCAAACACATGTTCTTAATCGTCCTACAGCATAAATTAATAATGAATACTTCACCCCCCAACTTAAAAATGACATTGTCCTCAATGACATAGAAAAATCGAAATAGAATATGCAGAAAATCTAATTTTCAAGTGAAGCATGCATATATGCAAAGTTTAGCATTAAAACTGTTGTCATAAATGATAAAGCTCCGAAAGACATCACCTGAACCTCGTTTTTAATTTTCTACTTCGTCTTACACTCCTCCACCTACACTTTTTTGAAAAAACAAATACAGAAACAAGTACTGCGAATTTCTAAGAAAAACAGAGCTTAAAAAAAAATCAAACAGAATGAAATAAAAACCATGGGTTGCCTCCCATGCAGCGCTGAATTTAATTTCTTCAGCTGGACAGCTCTTAGATCATATAAGATGATCTATGGCCATTCAAATATATTTGTATCCCAAGGTAAGTTTCATGATATTCTTTTTCAAATTTAGCATAAATTCATATACTTCATATATATACCTTGACATACTTTCAGCCAAAACAAAATGGAAATTAAAAAAATCTTCCCAAAAATAATATTTCCATTTTGAAAAGAATCTTTCCTCATTTCTATCTTGTTTTGTAAGGCTCTCATTCATTAATAAATACTTTCTATTAATAGACCATAAAATGTGATCAGGCCATATAATTTTCAAATGAGCTCTTACCCAATCTAGAATTTTTTCATCTAAATTGATATCTCGAATTCTTCCACTCACCCATTTCTTAATGTGTTCTTTTATCTGCATAATCTTCCCCTACTCCGTTTTATCTTCTATACATATTTGTTCAATTTGCGAGGAGTGAAATATTTCAAGCTTAGAAATAATTCTAATGGGCTGTGGGTTTTGAAGGATGGAAGGATTGTCTTCTTTAATCTTAGATCTAATGAATTCAGTAAAATTCAAATTTTCTCCTCCAAAATTATCTCTATATTCATATTCATTATTTTCGTTTCTCCCCATTAGTTGAATCAACTCTTTTTTTAGCTTTTCGTTTCTCAACTCATCAAATTCTTCATCTTCCCAAGAGCTATCTTTTAATTTCGGTATATGATATACATCATCGTCAACATCCATGGCTACAAATTATGATTAGATTTATTAATTTCGTCTCCTACATCTCCCAAATCAACTGATTTTTCCTCACCTGAAATATGTTTTTCTTTATTTGTGTCCTTACTCCCTTCTACTAAAAATTATTAACTCATGATAATGAAGACTTATCAATACCCAAGTGGCTGTTTAATATAATTTTTTATAATAGATTATTAGAACAACATAGAAATATAATTGATTCTATATGTGGAAGAGCTTTTATGGAGAAAATCCTTGATATTTAAACCCTTTATGAGAGTTTAAGTAAAAATTGTAGAGACCAAGTCTCTTTTAAGTTATATGATAGGAAGAGAAGAGAGGAATTTGTGAATTACATCATGATGATGATACTAATTCAAGAAATGAGGTTAATCAGATTAATGAAAGATTAGAAAAACTTGATTTACTTATTGAGAATATTAGAAAGCCTCATAACCTTCAATTTAATACATATAGTACATGTCATATGTATAATGAAAATGATTATTCCGAATTTTAATGCTATAATTTAGATCAATCATTTTAGCTTAGGTAAGAGCAAGTGTAAGTAGCCCATGATTTTAATAAAAATAGGGAGTATTTTTCTAATTCTCTAATCTTAATTGGGGGAATAATTTTTCGTGAAAAGACCTAAATAATATTCACAATCTAGAAGTACTTAGACCCAATTCAAATTCTGAATTTCATCTAAATTTTAGTAGAAGGGAGTAAGGACAGAAATGAAGAAAAACATATTTCAAGTGAGAAAAAATCAGTTGATTTGGGAGATGTAGGAGACGAAATTAATAAATCTAATCATAATTTTGCAGCCATGGATATTGATTGTGAGGATTATGATGTATATCATATACCGAAATTAAAAGATAGCTCCTAGGAAGATGAAGAATTTGATGAATTGAGAAACGAAAAGCTAGAAAAAGAGTTGATTCAACTAATGGGGAGAAACGAAAATAATAAATATGAATATAGAGATAATTTTGGAGGAGAAAATTTGAATTTTACTAAATTCATTAGATCTGAGATTAAAAAAGACAATCCTTCCATCCTTCAAAACCCACATCCCATTAGAATTACTTCTAAGCTTGGAATATTTCACTCCTCGAGAATTGAACAAATATGTATGGAAGATAAAATGGAGTAGGGGAAGATTATGCAGATAAAAGAAGACATTAAGAAATGGATGAATGGAAGAATTAGAGATATCAATTTAGATGAAAAAATTTTAGATTGGGTAAGAGCTAATTTGAAAATTATATGGCCTGATCACATTTTATGGTCTATTAATAGAAAGTATTTATTAATGAATGAGAGCTTTAAAAAATAAGATAGAAATAAGGAAAGATTCTTTTCAAAATGGAAATATTATTTTTGGAAATTTTTTGTTAATTTCCATTTTATTTTGGCCGAAAGTATGTCAAGGTATATATATGAAGTATACGAATTTATGCTAAATCTGAAAAAGAATATCATGAAACTTACCTTGGGATACAAATATATTTTGATGGCCATAGATCATCTTATATGATCTAAGAGCTGTCCAGCTGGAGACATTAAATTCAGCGCTGCATGGGAGGCAACCCATGGTTTTTATTTCATTCTATTTGATTTTTTTTTAAGCTCTGTTTTTCTTAGAATTTCGCAGTACTTGTTTCTGTATTTGTTTTTTCAAAAAAGTGCAGGTGGAGGAGTGTAAGACGAAGTAGAAAATTAAAAACGAGGTTGAGGTGATGTCTTTCGGAGCTTTATCATTTATGACAACAGTTTTAATGCTTAATTTTGCATATATGCATGCTTCACTTGAAAATTAGATTTTCTGCATATTCTATTTCGATTTTTCTATGTCATTGAGGACAATGTCATTTTTAAGTTGGGGGGTGAAGTATTCATTATTAATTTATGCTGTAGGACGATTAAGAACATGTGTTTGCATTTTATTCAACTTAGAACAGCAACTAAAAAATTAAAAATAAAATAAAATTCGGAAAAACTGCAACATCTATTTTCTGGTTTTCTGTCAAGAACAACAGACTGTCAAAAACAGTAGACAAAAAAACAACCTGAAATTTGAAATTATAGAGACCCTTTTCTCACATTTCAATCCCCTAGACATATATTACTGAAATTCGAAATTACAGCTATAAGGAAGATAGTTTTGATTTATTTTTGACAAATTTATTGCTGCTAAAAATAGAGTTGAAAATAGAAAACAGAACTATCAGAAGTATCTAATTTACAAATTTCTTACATCATATGTCATGCATGAAAAATTAAATCAATTAGATTGATTGATACCAAAAGATACTAGGAAGATTGTTATTGAGTCAAAAGAATGATCTAGTAGCATGAAATGTTGGAATACTCCTTGGATACATGATAGATAACATGGATTTGATTTTACAGATTTTCACTTCATGATCTTGATGGATAGTATTTACTTGATGTGAAAATTTGATTGATCATTTGAGTTTAATAGAGATTTTTGCACCCTGATCTATAGGACTTGTGATGAGAAATCACTTATTTTGAAAAAAAAAAAAAGAGAGAGAGAGCAATGTGAAAAATCTAGAAACAAAGAGTACACATGGAGGGTGTGAGACATCATTCTCATTGTCGAAAATCGTCTATAGAAAAATGCTTGCTGCAAAATAAGTGGATAAAGTGAAAGCCTTGAAAATGAAGAGTACACATGGAGGGTGTGAGACATCATTCTCATTGTCGAAATTTGTCTACAAGAAAAGCTACTTATCCACTATAAAAGAAGGAAGAAATATAGTGCAAACTTCAAAAATCAAGCCATGGAAAAAGGGAAATGTAGGATCAATATTATTCTTAGATGATTATTGATAATTAGAATATCTTGTAAATATATCTATGAGTGAAGAAGTGATAAAGATGTGAATAGAAGAAGTGAAGTCTAGATTGTTATTCCAAGGAGTTCTTAAACATTTAAGTGCTTGACATCATTCTTAAAGACTTGATATAAGAATCCAAGTGTCTAAAGGTGCATCATTTTTAATTGTTTTTTTTTTTTCTGTATTGAAATATGATGTTTGAGATTTGTAAATTTTTATTTTCGTAATTCCATTGCAAAGGGACTAACAATGATTTAAGTTGGGGGGTGTGATAAGTCTTCATTATCATGAGTTAATAATTAGTAAATAATATAGTTTTAGCCTTAACTCATGATAAATAGACTTATATTTGTGTTAAAGTATGAAAAGTGGTTTTCAGTTGATTAATGTGATTTTTTAGGTAAATATGTGATTTTACATGAATTTATATGATTTTTACAATTTTGCTTTTGAGATAAATGAAGAAAAAGAAATAAAAATAAAAATAGAACAAAATGGGGGGGACCCGCCGGCCAGCCGGGCCCGCAAGCAGGTTGGAAGCTCAGTCAGGGAGTAGCTGCGAGCAGGGGCTCGAGCGGCTTGGACCGATAGGGGCACGTGTGCGCCACTCCCCTTCCACGTCACCGGTGGCCAGCTGGCTGTGGGGCCAGGAGTGGTCGTACACGTGAGAGAAGGAACTTTGCTTAGAAAGCTAACATTACTATATATTTGCCCGAAAAATCGGCGCGTAACCGATGTGGGACTAAACCCGCGTCACACCTTCCTCAAAAGGGGTAGACAACCGGCGCGGGTTCGAATCCTCCTAGAGTCAAAATTCATTTATTTTTATCTGATTATTGCAACTTTCCTGCAGATCGCCGGTGAAGGATTAAGCAACGAGAATCACTGGATCATTGGCGAAAATCTCGTCAACGCGATTCGCGGAGCATTGCTACTAAAATTTCTGAATGATTCGCGATAAAAGGATCACGAATCCATCGAGTAAATCATCTCCGATTGATTGACGAACAAGCCATCGTCGGGAAGAGGACGGTCCACCGGGAGATGAGTCGCCACCTCTTGAGAGCGTACCAGATGCGATGAAGAGCCTCCTCTTGCTGCAGGACCTGAGGATGAAGCTCCCTGACACACGCCCCACCTCCATCCAGCTCCTCTCCGTCGGGTGACAACCACTAGAGAATCGCAAAGTCACCGTTTTTCCGCTCTGCCGGGTGACAGCCACTGGAGACGATTCGACGACCCATTTCATTAATCTCTAGACTTCGCGAGAAGATCTAGAGATTGCCCACGTTGTCCTTGTCCAAAGAGAGCCTTCGAGGCCGTGGACACTGCACGATGATCCTCTCGAACACTCAGAATTCTGGTGCATCACCGACGCATCGCCGTCGCGACGCCGGAACTCTGTTTTCCTGCTTTCAACTTACTTTACGCTTCATTTAGTGATAGTTTTTGTGATTTTAATTTACCAAAATATACTTTGTTCTATTACGATTCTTCTGGCTTTTACAGATCTTAATTTGATTAATTAAATCATTTGTAATCGCTTACGTAAGAATCGCCAGGCGGAACTCTGTTTCCACCCGATTTGCGTTCGCCGGGCATTGACGTCATCCTGACGTCCGCACCCTTATTTCCTTTTTTCGTGAATTTTAAATATATTTCCTTTTAATTTCTTAGTATACAATTCATAGAAAATCGTATTCATTGAGAAAAATTCTGAATAATTACCATATATTATATTACAACCCTGTGATCGACCTGGAAAATTACCGATATTTTTGGAAGTTTTATTGAATTATAATTGATATATTTGTTCAGAAATACTTCTAAATATCCAAAAATTCATATTTTCTAGTTTTATAAATTTAATATTTACATGATTTAATATACAACGACTAAGTCACGTCACCTAGAAATGAAGAGTACACATAGAGGGTGCAAGACATCATTCTTATTGTCAAAGTTTGTCTATAAGAAAAGCTACTTATCTACTATAGTAAAAAAAAAGAAGAAATATAGTATGAACTTAAAAAATCAAGCCATAGAAAAACAGAAATGTAAGATCAATATTATTCTTAGATGAGTATTGATAATTGGAACATCTTGTGAGTTATATCTATGAGTTGAAAAGTGATAAAGATGTGAATAGAAGAAGTGAAGTCTAGATTGTTATTCTAAGGAGTACTTAAAGATTTAAGTGTTTGCCATCATTTTTAAATCCTTGATATAAGAGTTCAAAATATTTAGATGTACATCATTTCTAATTGTATTTTTATGCATTGAAATATGATGTTTGAGATTTATGAATTTTTACTAATTTTCGTAATTCTATTGTTAAGGGATTAGTAATGATTCAAATTGAGGGGTGTGATAAGTCTTCAATATCATAAGTTAATAATTAATAAATAATATAGTTTTACTCTTAAATCATAATAAATAAACTTATATTTCTTATAAATTATGAAAAATGATTTTTATTTGGTTAATATGAATTTTTAGCTAATTATATGATTTTTTTGTGAATTTATATAATTTTTATAATCTTATTTTTGAGATAAATAAAGAAAAAGAAAATAAAAAAAAAGAGGGGGATCTGTTGGCCAGTTAGGCCCGCAAGTGGGTCGGAAGCACAGTCGGGGAGGAGCTACGAGTTGGGGCTCGAGTGGTTGTGGGCCGATCGGGGCACATGTGTGTTGCTCCCTTTCCACATCACCGGTGGCCAACCAAGCATGTGGCAAGTAGTGGCCATACACACACGAGAAAGGGACTCATTGATTCCCAAATCTCGTAATACTATATATTTGTCTTAAAATTCGGTGTATAATTTTTGTGGGACTAAACTCGGTCACAGCTTCCTTGTGATGATGCTATGATTTTAATATCAAAAATATCTCTTATTTATAAAAATGAGATATTATGATAATGTCACTATATAAGGGTACTTGAGAATTTATTCTCTCTCTCTCATGCAAGCGAGCAACCAATGTGAATTTGTATACCGATAAGTCTTTATTATCATGAGTTAATAATTAGTAAATAATATAGTTTTAGCCTTAACTCATGATAAATAGACTTATATTTGTGTTAAAGTATGAAAAGTGGTTTTCAGTTGATTAATGTGATTTTTTAGGTAAATATGTGATTTTACATGAATTTATATGATTTTTACAATTTTGCTTTTGAGATAAATGAAGAAAAAGAAATAAAAATAAAAATAGAACAAAATGGGGGGGACCCGCCGGCCAGCCGGGCCCGCAAGCAGGTTGGAAGCTCAGTCAGGGAGTAGCTGCGAGCAGGGGCTCGAGCGGCTTGGACCGATAGGGGCACGTGTGCGCCACTCCCCTTCCACGTCACCGGTGGCCAGCTGGCTGTGGGGCCAGGAGTGGTCGTACACGTGAGAGAAGGAACTTTGCTTAGAAAGCTAACATTACTATATATTTGCCCGAAAAATCGGCGCGTAACCGATGTGGGACTAAACCCGCGTCACACCTTCCTCAAAAGGGGTAGACAACCGGCGCGGGTTCGAATCCTCCTAGAGTCAAAATTCATTTATTTTTATCTGATTATTGCAACTTTCCTGCAGATCGCCGGTGAAGGATTAAGCAACGAGAATCACTGGATCATTGGCGAAAATCTCGTCAACGCGATTCGCGGAGCATTGCTACTAAAATTTCTGAATGATTCGCGATAAAAGGATCACGAATCCATCGAGTAAATCATCTCCGATTGATTGACGAACAAGCCATCGTCGGGAAGAGGACGGTCCACCGGGAGATGAGTCGCCACCTCTTGAGAGCGTACCAGATGCGATGAAGAGCCTCCTCTTGCTGCAGGACCTGAGGATGAAGCTCCCTGACACACGCCCCACCTCCATCCAGCTCCTCTCCGTCGGGTGACAACCACTAGAGAATCGCAAAGTCACCGTTTTTCCGCTCTGCCGGGTGACAGCCACTGGAGACGATTCGACGACCCATTTCATTAATCTCTAGACTTCGCGAGAAGATCTAGAGATTGCCCACGTTGTCCTTGTCCAAAGAGAGCCTTCGAGGCCGTGGACACTGCACGATGATCCTCTCGAACACTCAGAATTCTGGTGCATCACCGACGCATCGCCGTCGCGACGCCGGAACTCTGTTTTCCTGCTTTCAACTTACTTTACGCTTCATTTAGTGATAGTTTTTGTGATTTTAATTTACCAAAATATACTTTGTTCTATTACGATTCTTCTGGCTTTTACAGATCTTAATTTGATTAATTAAATCATTTGTAATCGCTTACGTAAGAATCGCCAGGCGGAACTCTGTTTCCACCCGATTTGCGTTCGCCGGGCATTGACGTCATCCTGACGTCCGCACCCTTATTTCCTTTTTTCGTGAATTTTAAATATATTTCCTTTTAATTTCTTAGTATACAATTCATAGAAAATCGTATTCATTGAGAAAAATTCTGAATAATTACCATATATTATATTACAACCCTGTGATCGACCTGGAAAATTACCGATATTTTTGGAAGTTTTATTGAATTATAATTGATATATTTGTTCAGAAATACTTCTAAATATCCAAAAATTCATATTTTCTAGTTTTATAAATTTAATATTTACATGATTTAATATACAACGACTAAGTCACGTCACCTAGAAATGAAGAGTACACATAGAGGGTGCAAGACATCATTCTTATTGTCAAAGTTTGTCTATAAGAAAAGCTACTTATCTACTATAGTAAAAAAAAAGAAGAAATATAGTATGAACTTAAAAAATCAAGCCATAGAAAAACAGAAATGTAAGATCAATATTATTCTTAGATGAGTATTGATAATTGGAACATCTTGTGAGTTATATCTATGAGTTGAAAAGTGATAAAGATGTGAATAGAAGAAGTGAAGTCTAGATTGTTATTCTAAGGAGTACTTAAAGATTTAAGTGTTTGCCATCATTTTTAAATCCTTGATATAAGAGTTCAAAATATTTAGATGTACATCATTTCTAATTGTATTTTTATGCATTGAAATATGATGTTTGAGATTTATGAATTTTTACTAATTTTCGTAATTCTATTGTTAAGGGATTAGTAATGATTCAAATTGAGGGGTGTGATAAGTCTTCAATATCATAAGTTAATAATTAATAAATAATATAGTTTTACTCTTAAATCATAATAAATAAACTTATATTTCTTATAAATTATGAAAAATGATTTTTATTTGGTTAATATGAATTTTTAGCTAATTATATGATTTTTTTGTGAATTTATATAATTTTTATAATCTTATTTTTGAGATAAATAAAGAAAAAGAAAATAAAAAAAAAGAGGGGGATCTGTTGGCCAGTTAGGCCCGCAAGTGGGTCGGAAGCACAGTCGGGGAGGAGCTACGAGTTGGGGCTCGAGTGGTTGTGGGCCGATCGGGGCACATGTGTGTTGCTCCCTTTCCACATCACCGGTGGCCAACCAAGCATGTGGCAAGTAGTGGCCATACACACACGAGAAAGGGACTCATTGATTCCCAAATCTCGTAATACTATATATTTGTCTTAAAATTCGGTGTATAATTTTTGTGGGACTAAACTCGGTCACAGCTTCCTTGTGATGATGCTATGATTTTAATATCAAAAATATCTCTTATTTATAAAAATGAGATATTATGATAATGTCACTATATAAGGGTACTTGAGAATTTATTCTCTCTCTCTCATGCAAGCGAGCAACCAATGTGAATTTGTATACCGATAAGTCTTTATTATCATGAGTTAATAATTAGTAAATAATATATTTTTAGCCTTAACTCATGATAAATAAACTTATATTTGTGTTAAAGTGTGAAAGGTGGTTTTCAATTGATTAACGTGAATTTTTAGGTAATTATGTGATTTTATACAAATTTATATAATTTTTACAGTCTTTCTCTTGAGATAAATGAAGAAAAAGAAATAAAAATAAAAATAGCAAAATGGGGGGACCTGCCGGCCAACCAAGCCCGCAAGCAGGTCGGAAGCATAGTCGGGGAGGAGATGTGAGCAGGGGCTCGAGCGGCTAAGACTGATAGGGGCACATGTGCGCCACTCCCCTTCCACGTCACTAGTGGCCAGCCGGCTATGGGTCAAGGAGTGGTCGTACATGCGTGAGAAAGGGACTTGATTGAATTATAATTACCTGATATTATATTACATTCGTGTGATCAATTTAGAAAATTACTACTATTTTTGGGAGTTTTATTGAATTATAATTGATATATTTGTTCAGAAATACTTCTAAATATTTGAAAATTCATATTTTCTAGTTTTATTAATTTTTAATTTGCATGATTTACTCTATAACGACTAAATCATGTCATATACTACCGAAGCCAAAACTCATATTTTTTATCTGATTAAAGTGTGATTTTTCTATAGGTCACCAGTGAAGGATTAAGTTGTTAGAATTGCTTAATAATTGACAAAAATCTCATCAATGTGATTTGTGGAGCATCGTTATTAATATTGTTGAACGATTCATGATAAAAAGATTACAAATCTATTGAGTAAATCATTTATGATTCATCAATGAACAAGTCGTCGTTGGGAAGAAGACAATCTATCGGAAGAAAAATTGTCACCTATTGAGAGCATATCAGATGCGATGAAGAGCCTCCTCTTGCTGCGCGGACCTGAGGATCAAGCTCACTAACATGTGCCCCACCTCTATCTAATTCTTATCTGTCGGGTGATAGTTGTCAAAGAGTCGCAATGTTGCTATTTTCTGCTTTGTCAGGTGGCAGCTGCTAGAGACGATTCAATGTCTCATTTCATTGATCTCTAGATTTCACAAGAAGATCTAGAAATTTCCCATGTTGTCCTTGTTTAGGGAGAGCCTTTGGGGCCATGGACATTGCACGATAATCCTCTTGAACACTCAAAATTCTCGTGCATCGTAGATGCATCGCTTCTGCGATGTCGGTAATTATGATTTTTTTGATTTTTACAAATCCTATTTGACCAATTAAATTGTCAGTAATTGACGTGACTTAGTCGTTGTATATTAAATCACGCAAATATAAAATTTATAAAACTAGAAAATATAAATTTTTGGATATTTACAAGTATTTCTGAACAAATATATCAATTATAATTCAATAAAACTTCCAAAAATAGCGGTAATTTTCCAGGTCGATCACAAGGATGTAATATAATATCTAGTAATTATTCAGAATTTTTTCCTGAGAATAATATTTTATATGAATTTTATACTAAGAAATGAAAAGGAAATATATTTAAAATTCACGAAAAAAAAGAAAATAAGGGTGCGGGCGTCAGGATGATGTCAGCGCCTGGCGAATGCGAATCGGGCGGAAACAGAGTTCCGCTCGGCGATTCTTATGTAAGCGATTACAGACTATTTAATTGATCAAATTAGGATCTGTAAAAGACGGAAGAATCGTAATGAAATAAAGTATATGTTGGTAAATTCAAAATCAACAAATTATCACTAAATGAAACGGAAATTAAGTTGAAAGCAGGAAAACAGAGTTCTGGCGTCGCGACGGTAATGCGTCAGTGATGCACTGGAATCCTGAGCGTTCGGGAGGATCGTCATGCAGTGTCCACGGCCTCGAAGGCTCTCCTTGGACAAAGACGATGTGGGCAATCTCTAGATCTTCTCGCGAAGTCTAGAGATTAATGAAATGGGTCGTCGAGTCGTCTCCGGTGGTTGTCACCCGGCGGAGCGGAAAAACGACGACTTTGCGGCTCTTCGACGACTGTCACCCGACGGAGAGGAGCTGGATGGAGGTGGGGCGCATGTCAGGGAGCTTCATCCTCAGGTCCGCGCAGCAAGAGGAGGCTCTTCATCGCATCTGGTACGCTCTCAAGAGGTGGCGACTCATCTCCCGGCGGATCGTCCTCTTCCCGACGACGGCTTGTTCATCGATCAATCGGAGATGATTTACTCAATGGATTCGCGATCCCTTTATTGCGAATCGTTCAACAATTTTAGTAACAATGCTCTGCGAATCGCGTTGACGAGATTTTCGCCGATGATCCAGCGATTCTCGTTGCTTAATCCTTCACCGGCGATCTGCAAAAAAGTTGCGATAATCAGATAAAAATATATGAATTTTGACTCTAGAAGGATTCAAACCCGTGCCGGTTGTCCGCCCCTTCTGAGGAAGGTGTGACACGGGTTTAGTCCCACATCGGTTGTGCGCCGATTTTTCAAGTGAATATATAGTAATGTTAGCTTTCTAAGCAAAGTCCCTTCTCTCGCGTGTACGACCACTCCTTGCCCCACAGCCGGCTGGCCACCGGTGACGTGGAAGGGGAGTGGCGCACACGTGCCCCTATCGGTCCAAGCCGCTCGAGCCCCTGCTCGTGGCTACTCCCCGACTGAGCTTCCGACCCGCTTGCGGGCCCGACTGGCCGGCAGGTCCTCCCATTTTGCAATATTTTAGTTTTATTTCTTTTTCTTCATTTATGTCAAAAGTAAAACTGTAAAAATCATATAAATTCGTATAAAATCACATAATTACCCAAAAAATCACATTAATCAACTGAAAACCACTTTTCACACTTTAACACAAATATAAGTCTATTTATCACGAGTTAAGGCTAAAACTATATTATTTACTAATTATTAACTCATGATAATGAAGACTTATCACACCCCAAAACTTAAATCATTGCTAGTCCCTTAGCAATGGAATTACGAAAATAAAAATTTACAAATCTCAAACATCATATTTCAATACAAAAAATAAAAATACAATTAGAAATGATGCACCTTTAGACACTTTGGACTCTTATATCAAGTCTTTAAGAATGATGTCAAGCACTTAAATGTTTAAGCACTCCTTGGAATAAGAATCTAGACTTCACTTCTTCTATTCACATCTTTATCACTTCTTCACTCATAGATATATTTACAAGATGTTCTAATTATCAATAATCATCCAAGAATAATATTGATCCTACATTTCCCTTTTTCCATGGCTTGATTTTTGAAGTTTGCACTATATTTCTTCCTTCTTTTATAGTGGATAAGTAGCTTTTCCTGTAGACAAATTTCGACAATGAGAATGATGTCTCACACCCTCCATGTGTACTCTTCATTTTCAAGGCTTTCACTTTATCCACTTATTTTGCAGCAAGCGTTTTTCTATACACGATTTTCGACAATGAGAATGATGTCTCACACCCTCTATGTGTACTCTTCGTTTCTAGATTTTTCACATTGCTCTCTCTCTTTTTTTTTTTTTTCAAAATAAGTGATTTCTCCTCACAAGTCCTATAGATCAAGGTGCAAAAATCTCCATTAAACTCAAATGATCAATCAAATTTTCACATCAAGTAAATACTATTCATCAAGATCATGAAGTGAAAATCTGTAAAATCAAATCCATGTTATCTATCATGTATCCAAAGAGTATTCCAACATTTCATGCTACTAGATCATTTTTTTGACTCAATAATCATCTTTCTAGTATCTTTTGGTATCAATCAATCTAATTGATTTAATTTTTCATGCATGCAATATGATGTAAGAGATTTGTAAATTAGATAGTTTTGACAGTTCTGTTTTCTATTTTCAGTTCTATTTTTAGCAGCAATAAATTTGTCAAAAATAAATCAAAACTATCTTCTTTATAGCTGTAATTTCGAATTTCAGTAATATATGTCTAGGGGATTAAAATGTCAGAAAAGGGTCTCTAGAATTTCAAATTTTGGGCTGTTTTTTATCTTCTGTTTTTGACAGTCTGTTGTTCTTGACAGAAAACCAGAAAATAGATGTTGCAGTTTTTCTGAATTTTATTTTATTTTTTTATTTTTTTAGTTGCTGTTCTAAGTTGAATAAAATGCAAACACATGTTCTTAATCATCCTACAGCATAAATTAATAATGAATACTTCACCCCCCAACTTAAAAATGACATTGTCCTCAATGACATAGAAAAATCGAAATAGAATATGCAGAAAATCTAATTTTCAAGTGAAGCATGCATATATGCAAAGTTTAGCATTAAAACTGTTGTCATAAATGATAAAGCTCTGAAAGACATCACCTCAACCTCGTTTTTAATTTTCTACTTCGTCTTACACTCCTCCACCTACACTTTTTTGAAAAAATAAATACAGAAACAAGTACTGCAAAATTCTAAGAAAAATAGAGCTTAAAAAAAAATCAAACATAATGAAATAAAAACCATGGGTTGCCTCCCATGCAGCGCTGAATTTAATTTCTTCAGTTGGACAGCTCTTAGATCATATAAGATGATATATGGCCATCAAAATATATTTGTATCCCAAGGTAAGTTTCATGATATTTTTTTTCAAATTTAGCATAAATTCATATACTTCATATATATACCTTGACATACTTTCAGCCAAAACAAAATTAACAAAATCTTCCCAAAAATAATATTTCCATTTTGAAAAGAATCTTTCCTCATTTCTATCTTGTTTTGTAAGGCTCTCATTCATTAATAAACACTTTCTATTAATAGACCATAAAATGTGATCAGGCCATATAATTTTCAAATTAGCTCTTACCCAATCTAGAATTTTTTCATCTAAATTGATATCTCTAATTCTTCCACTCACCCATTTCTTAATGTGTTCTTTTATCTGCATAATCTTCCCCTGCTCCGTTTCATCTTCCATATATATTTGTTCAATTTGTGAGGAGTGAAATATTTCAAGCTTAGAAATAATTCTAATGGGCTGTGGGTTTTGAAGGATGGATGGAAGGATTGTCTTCTTTAATCTTAGATCTAATGAATTCAGTAAAATTCAAATTTTCTCCTCCAAAATTATCTCTATATTCATATTCATTATTTTCGTTTTTCCCCATTAGTTGAATCAACTCTTTTTCTAGCTTTTCGTTTCTCAACTCATTAAATTCTTCATCTTCCCAAGAGCTATCTTTTAATTTCAGTATATGATCATCATCAACATCCATGGCTAGAAAATTATGATTAGATTTATTAATTTCGTCTCCTACATCTCCCAAATCAACTGATTTTTCCTCACTTGAAATAGGTTTTTCTTCATTTGTGTCCTTACTCCCTTCTACTAAAATTTGGATGATTTTTCCATGATCAACTACTGTTTTTTCATCTAAGGGCTCTTTCTCCTCATCATCCTCACTATATTCATTCATCAATTGTGAGCAATAAATAATTTTATTCAAATTTTCTGCTACTATATTTTCAGAATTAATATTCTCATTTACTTCTAATGGCTCATCGATTTCTTCTAATAATTGAAAATAAGGATCAGGTAAAATATTCTCACTCAATGTATTCACTGACCTAACATTTTCATTTCGTGGGTTTTTTTTTAAATTTATCCAGCTAGACTCTCGTTGCTGAAATCTTACTGTTGAACAGTTTTCTGGATTTTCTATAGGCTGACTAGGTAGCTCTCCCTCTTCTCTCTTATTCCCAAGAGCCTCTATAATTTTTTTCTGGTGCAGCATCATTTGATTTATAGTTTGTTGCATCATTTGGCTCATTTGCTGCATCATTTCCATAGCATCAGGTTAACCTTACGTGTAATTGTTGTTCAATAAGTTATGGCAGCATGATGAACCAAGTTGAGAGGGTGAACCGAACTTTATCTATGATTTTCTTAAAAGTTTTAGATATTTTCACTAAAGATTATAACAATTTGGTCTAATTCACCAAAAGTAATAATATTTTGCTTGTCCCCTATTTCCTCAAAGTTTTCTTGTCACCATAATTTTCTTCATCTAGAGGGAGTTTTTTGGTGAGTTGACTCCCTTCTTGAAATAAGAAAGGAGAATGCTGCAAATCCATCTATCATAAATTCTAGTGTGACATTGTTAGGGCAGATTATAGTACTAAAAGTAAACTAATGGTCAAAACTTTATTTACAAGGTAAAATTATTTTTTTATCATGATATTATGAGGTTTCACAGTTATTTTTGCTGCAAATCTCTCATATAGGTGATTTGGCTCCCTTTCTGAAAAATGAAAAGACATGAATACATCTGCAAACTTAGATTCATATAGCACTTTCGAAAGAATTAGTATAAATATTTTTAGTAATCTGATATTTACATAATATAAATTAGGAAAGTGAAATTAGTATTTGACTATTATATTCATTTTGTGAATGACAAAACAAAAAGAACTCCAAAGCCAACTATGTCGTGCCCTTTTAATAACCTCATTGGTGTATACCTTAAGAATACCGTAATTTCCAACAAGGTGAAAATAAAGTCTCTCTTATTCATCAACATCATGTCTTCAGTGCTTACGCGTGACAACCTACATTAGTTAGTTCATTAGTTATAATGTTTCCATTCTTTATGAACCCTTTTTTTCATGATTGGGCTGAGGTTGGGGTGTTGTATTATATTGTACATTATTGATCACATAAAAAAAGATGGATAATATGTAGTGGCCCTGGAACATGCGTATGAATAATTATGAGGAAGCCATACCATCCGCAAAATTCGTCATGTAGTGCGGACCATTCATGGGCCTACATCGATATATTGTCTATTATTGCTTGGTTGGCCCACAACACATACTAAAATGATATGATACTGAAGGTCGCGTACATTCGACGGCCAAGGGAAGAGTTTCGGCTTCCTGAATTGGACCCGGGTAAGAATGGCCCATACCCTACGAGCATCTTCTGCATCATGGTTTCTTGACGGTTGAAGAGGTAGGACTGAGGATTATTTGTGGAAAGAAGAGAAGGAAAACGACGGTTTGCGTTCTACTCGTAGAAGAGAACATCTAAAACCTCATAGTTTATGGTTTGAGAGTGACCAACAGCAGAAGAGAATACTGTGAGCCGTTTAAGGGACCAAATCCTGGTACGCTCCTTTGAGGAGTTATATGCCGAAACCACTGTCAACAGTAATGTGGAATGCCGAGCTGGGGGATGCTGGATAGGGTGCTTGCGGCTTCTTCCTTTTTTTATCCCATTTTTTGCGCACCGAGTTATGATAATCCACGACAGGCAAGTGGACTAATTCTCAGCGCCATTTGTCATTTAGCTAGTGAACCAGTCGATATTGACGTTCCGCGATCTGTGCTTCTTTGTAGGACTCAAGTGAAGCAGTCTTAGAATCCCTTATGATACTCGAGTGAAGCAAGCCCTGGGTAATGGACAGTGTTGGACTTAAGCGAACTACGTCTTTCATTGCTGTCACGGCGGCACCTGCCACTTCATTGGCGACATGCAATACAGTACAATTGACATCTCTGAAATGAGTAAGGGGGTGAGACGGTAGGGCAATATTTGTGGTTATCAACACCTAACAATGGTCGTTCTTGTCTCGTTTCCGCTAAAACTGAAGCTCTGTTTGGTCCAGGACGGCGAATGGCGGCATAGCGGCCGGGATGCCGAGTGGGCCTGCCCGGGATGTCGACGTCAGACGGAAGGGACAGACCGGGGACCAAACAGCGCACACACGCGAGGATTCGCTCCATGCCTCCTGCCGCCTCACTCTCCCTCTTCAGCCCAGCCGACCGGCACGGCGGGGCTGACTCGGATGATAGGTGGAGGATACTTCGAGGAAGAAAGGAGGATGGACCCTTGGGGCAGGTGGTCCATCGAAGGATGAGGACAAAGCTTCCATTAGAGTAAAACAGATGGATAAAAGGAGGCCTTTGCTACCCGATGAAGCCGACATGGGCAAAGGATCAATGAGATTAGTTTAAGGGGAAACTTTTGGCGAGAGCCCCGTGAGATTTATGGTAATGTGGCTTGCTCCCTGCGGAAGGTTGCTAGGCGCGGGGCTCTGCGCCATAGATGACAAACATAGGGTTTCGTGTTCCATATACTCTTTACGATACTAGTTGGAGACTTTTTAACAAAAAAATATACTCCCCTGATGTTTGCACACGGACCCTTCTGAGATTTACGTTGCCGGTCGCATTTCAGTCAAGAGGAGCACATGATGGATTAGATCCCCCGCGATTCTTACTCCCACATTGGACTTCACATGGGTGTGCTACCCACTTAACTATCAGATGATATATTAGACGTGGGTGAAGAGTCTGACAGGCGGGTGGAGCAGTGAGCACGGGCGGTCGGAAGCACACGCGGGAATGGCGCTAAATAGGACAAGGAAATAGGATTCTACGAGCCATGCTGCTTAAGGGGCCGTCTTTTCCCCATGACGGAGCTAAAACCCCGGCGCTGATCCCAGGCTTCCGTCTAATACAGCTCGACTCGCAGAGGGCTTAGAGTCGATGGCGGCCTCTGCGGGCCTCAGTCAGCCGCAGCAGGCAGGGACCAGCAGGAGCGGGCGAATCCTCAACGGCCTGGGCTTTTAAAATTCAAAAGTCCCCTCCCGGCGAGAGGTTTCTTCTGGGGAGAAGCTGACAGGGGCAGAACATGAAGAAGACAAACGCAAGACGGCGCGGCCAGGAATCCTTCTTTTCTAATTCGCTTGGGTCTCTCATTTACAACGGCCGATGGGAACCGAGGGGGCCCGGGGGGCGGCTCCCGGTCCCACTGCGTTGAGGGAGGAAAAGTCCTCCCGACAATGTATCTCTCTTATTCGTATGTATGTCCTCATGGTCCTGCGGAAGAATTTCTACAGACGGCGTGCAAGCAAATTACCCGTTGATTTCTTGCGCCAATTGCGTAAGCTTGGGCCCCGTTGATGGACGAGGGACGGATGGCGACCTGACATAAAGATCTCCCAATGGCAGCTGCACCTTATCTGGCCAACAGAGTCTTTCTCTCTCTCGTTCTGCCCTCCTCTTTCCCTTCTTCTCGCTCCGAGAAGGGTCTGCTTGTAATGGCCCAGCTAAAGTACAGCTGTAGATTGCATGGGCAAGCGCCGGCTGAGCATCTTCTCCCATCAAGGGCCCTAAGTCTCGATCCCGCAATAACGGGATGGATTGCTTTCTTCAGTGTACAGCTTGACGAGGACGGTCGGAGGCTTCATCTAAATCTGTCCCCGTTGTAGTTTGGTTTGGCAGTGATGTACTACGGCGTCAGGACGTAGTACATTGCTGAGAGGAATTATCGAAGGGTCAACCGAGGAATGATAGATGGACAGACCGCTAAATGCGAGCGCAATAGGATATGAGAGAGCGAGCGAGCGAGCGAGAGAGAGAGAGAGAGATTCTGACTTTTCCATGTCGGACTGTAGCGACGGAGAAAATCTAGGCGCCTGGTGCAACCTCTACGTTTCTACCAGCATTCGCGGGCTGTCAAATGCCCTTCTAGGGACCGTCCTCTCTGTAAATAGAAGGTATTGGAGGACAGAGAAAGAACTGAGACTCCGCATTTTGGGTGGCCTAAGGTGACCCAGGGGTGGGGTCGGCTGCTCCCCCAGTGCTCTCCCGATCATGGCGTCGGAAAGCCGGCGCCATAAGCAGCTGACAATGCCTGTCTCACGGGACGGTGGCTAACAAACAGATGAAGTTCCCAAAAGCCTTCTAAGGCGGGCCGACCCATCGAAACCTGATCCTCTCTTTCGCTTACCCCTATCCTTTTCGAGGGGGGACGACATACTTGTTGTTCACTCTTTCTCTTCTCACATCCTCGTGCTCCAGCCCGAGGCTATCTATGTACATCTCCGTCGGCCGCTCTCCACGCTATAAGTTTCGAGAGCTAATTCCCGTCCATGTGGCAATCGTATTCGGGTCTCCCTCCCCCATTTCAGCGGTGCGTTCTTCTGCGTCCACAGTCCCCACTCATCAAAGATACCGTCGAGGAGGCGGGTGGGGGAATCTGAGAGATGGGGAAACCCAAGAAGCTGAAATCCTCCATTAAAGCCCTCCAAGAGGTCCTCACCAGCATCAGGCCAGCGGTGGGCGCCCCGCTATGCATGCAGCCGGCGAAGACCAATTCCTTCAGAGACGTCCTCACCAGCTTTAACTCCATCTACTATGTACCTCCTACAGCCACCTCGTCCTCCGCTTCGTCCGATCCCTACAGCAACCACAGCCATCTCAAATATCCCCGGAACATCTCCTCCGAAGGTGAGATTAGGTCTGCCGAGAAAGCCTATGGGGGAGAAGAGGAGGCCATATCCACCAGCACCGCCGCGACGAGCACGAGCACCTGCAGTAGTTGCCTCTCCTCCACTTCGTACGCCGTAGCCGACGCCTCTCCCGACCATATTCTAGCAGAAGAGGCCTTTCCTAACGTCATTTTAAGTTCGGAGCGCTTCTTCTTCTCTCCCTTCACCTCCAAATCCATAATGGGTGAATCCTTCCTCGAGGTGGATCACAAGGAGATGGAGGCAGAAGAACCCTCTAGTCTCCGTCCATTCCGAGAATCGGAGGAAACAGAAACAGGGGACGCCGACGAAGTGGGCGACCATACATTCCATATTACGGTCGATACAGAGATTGGGGACGCGACGGTGAAAAGGAGCTCTGCGGACCTATGCAAGGAGAGCATCCCAATGGCCATGGCCTCCAGAGACCCATACAGAGATTTCCGAACCTCGATGGAGGAGATGGTGGTGGCACACGGTCTACAGGATTGGTCGTCCCTGCAGGAGCTGCTGCACTGTTATCTGCGGCTGAATGAAAAGAAGACTCACAGGTTCATAGTTCTTGCTTTCATGGATCTCCTCGCCCATCGGTCCTCAGAGAGCGAGTCTAACTCACTCTCCTCGCCGATGCTCTTTTCTCCTCCACCCCTTCCCACCCCTCATCTCCACCAGTACCAATCAAAGTAGTTCCCCCCCCCCAGTCTGGTTTTCTTTCTCCACCATAAGTCCTTATTTTCTCTTTACTCTCTGTAAAGGCGTAAGAACTGGAATATTTGGTAGACGGGAGATCTTATGAGCGTGGAGGGAACATAGAAAGCAAAACGGGAAATGCTAATCCATTTCTGAAAAGTAGCCGCGGGCGTTTCCTCTCCCCGTCCTCGTCCCTCAGCTGTCCCCATCCATTCGCGCAAATGCCCGACCGCGCCGCACCCACTCCTTCGTCCTCTGCTCCTCTCGGAGAAGAAAGGTCTTTAACCTCTCTCTCTCTCTCTCGTAAGGAAGAGTGAAACCCGCGGTCACGGCTATTCCTTTCCTTGGCCGTTCATCTCGAGGTAGGCAAGAGTAGTTTGGCTTCTGGCAGTGTCAGTCGATTCGGTGCTTAAGGAAGACAGCCAAACTCCCCAGAATCAAGCTGTAAGGAAGAAAATCCCTCATAAGCAAGCGTTCAACTGCAGCCAGACTCGACGACAAGCGTTGCTTCGGCGCCGGGAAATTACTATTGATCTTGTCGTGTCTGCTCCTAGAGGCCGCTGCCGTCGAGCTGTGAATGAATTGAGACCGGAATTTCTACCGGGTCCTCAACAGAAGAAAGCCTCGTGAAATTTGCGAGCCCGGCTACGATTTTCTGTACGAAGCCTGGACCGAAATGTCCCCTCTTACATGAGATGACGTACTGTTGTAGTACATCAGAGGTCGAAACTAATGAGATGGTGTCTGGAGGGAACAATATGCAACCATCCACTCATGTAAAGTCTTAAATTGGCAAACATCCAGTATTAAATGCTCAAAAATATAAATTCCAAAATAATACTATTCTTGTAGATGAAAAGAAGCCCTACCTAATGTATTTCACTGAGTGAAACAAAGGAACATTTCACACCTTGAGGGGAACTTGTAATAGTGCATCATGTTAAGGAAAACTTGGAGTAATCACTTTCCATGATTTCACGGTTCAGTCTTCAAACTCTTAGGATCTATTCACATGTATCTCATTCATAAATGGAACCTTGTTACATTAGAATTCTCAGTATAAATACTTGAACATATGAATGAGAACAAAATTTGAACTTCATGTCAAATCATCAAAATGATACCATAAAAAATCTAGAAAGTCGGGCCAACAATCAAATTAGTATCAAATAATTTTGGTAAGGCTTTTCCCTTAGGTAAATAGTAAGACACACATCATAAATACAATTAGATGTGAGTTCATGTGCAAACAAATTTGAATATGTTTAGTAAGCCAAGCATTTCTCCAATCTAGTTAAGGATTGCAAAATAATCTGTCAACTTTGATGAATCCCCTGAGTTTCATTAAGCAACAATTTATTTTGAATGGTTTCCTTCATTTAAGATGTGGAAACTATTTAATGGATCCATTTTATTAACAAGAAATATTGTTGCCTAAGAATATCCATTTTTTCGTTCTATGTAGCTCTAATTAGATGCTATCTGGATACAACATTTCATATTTAACAATTAGCCAAGGATAAAATTAATATCTTCATCTTATCTAATTTCGTTTCTCAGAATTTAATGTAAAGGTGATCAAACATTTTAAACTTAAAAACATCCAAGTGATAAGACAAACATTATATTAGTCCTTAGAGTATGTTTGATTTTTAATCCAATTAAGTTATTTTCTTTACTATTTATTTACTTTTTCTTAGACATCAATTGAGTCACACTGTATGCTAGATTTCAGAAATGATTTAAGCCTTTTCTAATGTAACTTTATAACATCCTTTTTGATCTTATAGTATCAGTTTTTTGTTAACATATATGTCTATTTTAGAGTCATCTTGGGAGGGTAATAAGTTATGAAAAAGTTCTACTTAATCTCATTTTTTACATATGTGGATATTTCATTAAATTAAATGCGTGTTAAAAAGAATATAAATTTTGATTCCTTTTAAGTGGGATTATTTGAACTAATACTTCTGAGAGAAGTACATAGTTCAAAGATTATCTAGGGACTACTTTCGTTGAAAAACGAATTATCTTGGTTCTTTACTTGGATGCCAATTCCTAAAATTTAATTTCAATCTCATCCATTAATAGTTGTCCCTTAGAAATGTTACAAACGTTTAGACTATTTCACTTATTCACAAGAAAATAAAAACTTTCCCTTGCTGCATATATGAAGAGAAATTTAATATTTTAAATTGTGAAATATATAAAAAGGGAAATACTAGGATCGGTAATTACTTATTTCAATGAGTTTAAAATGGGTAATTACTTATTTCTCAATTATAAGTTTTCTTTCCTAGGGTAAAAGTCAGATTTTAAAATTTTTTTGGCTTTCTAAAGAAACAAGCACAATGTTAAAAGACCCAATTAATACAAAAATTATACAAACAGCATAGAAGTTATAAATAAAATATTTAAAATATCCTTACCTCATTTGAAACCCCTTGATGAGCTCATAGTGTTCAGGGATTATTGAACATATATAGGTGGCATTACAGGGTTGAAATGCTTTTGCAGTTTGTAAATTTTAATTTTGGAAGCTCAAAAATCTCTTTCTTAGTCTTTATACCTTAAGACCCTCTACTTGTTGTTAGATAACTCTGCTCTTTTAGTAAGTACGAAGTTGTTTTGTTTCGTACTTTATCAATTTTTGTTATAAAGCAATCTTTTCATAACAAAACTTTTACCTTCCATCTCTAGAAGATAGGTGCTGACCATTTTCTATTTAGCTATAATCATCAATCACCCCTTCATTAGATATCAAATATTAACACGTTTGCATAAAGTATCAAGACTTTATTTTGTCTGGTATTTTCTTGTTCTAATATGAACTATACTTGAGAGTTGATAATTTTCAAATTATCCGTCCTATTGTAAAACACATTCTCTCTACTTTTAAGCCAACCAAACAAATTAACTCACTTGTTGACTCTTACTTTAAGAATGGTTATCTTTTCACAGAAAAATAGTAGACGTATACGATGCAGAGGTCAACCCTAACAATTCAAAGTTTTTGGGTCATCAAGATAAGAAAAAATGAAACTTTGTACAAATTTAAAGCCAAGAAATCTTCTTTTCCCCATACCACATTTTTTTTTATGTATTATGAAACATACATCAGATTTAATGAAAAAAAATGATAAATCAATCAAAGAAGGATGGAAGCATTTTTTATGATGTGCTTTCCACTTTGTTGAATATGAATTTTAACAGATTTAAAATGTAACCATAAACTTATGAAATTCTTGTAACAAATCTTGATAGCTTTGCCTTACAATTGGCATTTAAATACCATGATTGATTTCAACTAATGGCACAAAATTCAAGCACATAACAATACGGTTGTATGATTCCATTTACTATATATATGGTGATGTGTGAAGAAATACATCAACAAAGATAATTCTGATTTTTTTCTGAATCAAGATATAGAAGGCGATTGCATAAAAAAATTTAGTATTGAACCAGTGCTATAATTCGTTTTCTCCCCCTTAGAGTATGCAGAGTTTCAAATTATTGTTGATAAAAATCACAGCAAACATCTTTTCATGAATGAGATAAATATTCATGACTAAACAAGAAATATCATTTGAAATGAATAAATTAATTGAGGTATGTATAACACAATGAAAATAAAGAACAAATAATGAGTAGTGTATCTTTGGTCCTATAAAAAGAAAATCTTAACATCATCTTTTATGTCTATCAGTTCCATTTATTTATATTTCGGAATCCAAATACGATCATACCTTAAACTTGTCATATCCTCTACTAGATACATTGGAATCAATATATATCCTTCTCATTAGCATTCAAATTGGAACTACTGGTTTTTATGATCTTTTGTTAGAAAAACTTGTAACAAATAAAGAATTAAATTCTTAATCTTTAGGAAGACCAAACATGAGTGTTTGGAATTTTATTTATATACATGAGATTTCTTGATTGCTTAATCTCACATTTTTCGTCAAATGTTGATGGCTTTGTATTGATTTTTCATTTTAACTCAATTGAAATAAAATTTCCTTCTCTGAGATCAACTCATTGTTGATAATGTTAAATCTTCCATCCTAAATCTTTTCTGAAGTTCTTAACATTTAAATATTTTATTTACTTACATAAAATGGTTGGATTTTCAAATTTACCTCATCTTGGCGAAAATAGTAAGCACATATTTACTTCTTCTTCTTCTTCTATTTAAGAGAAAGATGATTTGTCATGCTCAGTCAAACTAAAAATATTTTTTCTAGTGTTTAAGAATAGAATAGGTTTTCTTGATATAAAATGAATGAAATTTTATGATTATTACTCTCGTGATCAGATCAATATGATTTTAAAGCTAATGCAATCTTCTTTTCAATTAAATAGTGCATAGGCCGATAGTGATCCCAGTATGTATTCTTGTCTGTAGCTTATTGAATAGTTGTAGCATAAGGAGTACAATAATAGAAATGAATTTTAGAATTATTAAAACTGATTTAAAATTGGTGTCCACCATTTCAAGTGTCTTTGGTTCATTTTCAAGGAAATAGAAAATTAAGAAAATTTATTAAAGTGTATCATCTTGGTTTATTTTTTAGTGCTCAAAATTGTGACTTAGGATATTTTTATTTGTTTGAATTTAAGTCTCTTTCATACGACACCAACTTCTTCAATATTCCATAAGCACTGTTGCACATGCAATTGTATTATTTTCTTCATCATAGAATGCACATAAAAGGTGCCCATCAATGTTCCATTTGAAGAGAGAAGTTTTCCATTAACTGTGCTTATTTCATTCTCCCCTATGGAAGGAACATATGGTCAATATTCATTGAGATAATAATTTGATCACTTAAACGTAAATGCATTTTCTCATCCTAGTTTTCTAATAGACATGGCTTAGTTTCATTACCACAATATTTATGCTAATGGAATCTCTCACATTAAAAGTGATTTCAAAAAAATTGTAATAACTAAGACAAGATTTGTTTATTACTGTAAAAAATTACAAGATTACACTAGTACATGATTACAGGATTATATGATCTTGTATCAGTTAATGGTAATCAATAAGTAAAAAAATAAATGGTCACTATCAACCTTTCACACATATGCCACAAAATTTTAAATGGCTATGTCAAATCACAAAGGAACTCAAGTTTCTAAACCCCCCTTGATATGTTCTACTTTGTTCTCCTAAATCCAACAACATTTCTTTGCATTTCATTATCCAATAGACATTTGCATAAATATCATATAACATTAAATCACAGATATATTTAGCATAAGAATATGCTTACAATTTTTAAATAATGGGTTCCCATAATTTTTTTGCTTATTCATTCAGAAAATGGTACAAAAGAACCTATATGCCACTCGACGTGTTGTTTTATGGTGCATCTTGTTATTTAATATTTACGATGTTAGCCTTATCAATTTTTTAATCATCTAATTTTTGGGATGACTTCAATCACCTAAAACTTTCAATACTAGCATTGACAGTATTATTATTTTTCACTTTGCATGTAAAAGTACATTATCATACAACAATGAAAAGAATTGTCAATGTAGTTGTGCTTTCCAGAAAATCTTCCAAATAAAGTCAATAAAGATGAAAATTAAAATTATGGGTATCAATTTACAGACTAGAACTGTTTGTTACCTATTGAGAGAGAGAGAGAGAGAGAGAGAGAGAGAGAGAGAGAAACTAAATTATATGAAAAATTTATGCTAATCTATTTTAACTACTTGGTAACCCACTGAAGATTGTCTAAACACCACAGCACTGGACCTATTGATGTGAATTTCTGAAAAACTCATAATGCTAAAGGGTGAAAAAATCACTGAAAATGACAATACAGCCCACAAAACAATTATCCCTTTTATAGGAGGATGGAAGCTTGAAAGCAGTCAAATAAAATTCTTATGACCGTCCTCTTACTCTTCTTCAATGATCACAATTGAATCATGAAGATGGAATGTTTTTCTCCTTTCATCCCATTAATTGAGTGCATATGCATTTGCCTAAAACACAGAATTAGGAAGTATAATTAATCTTTTGAAACTTGCATCATCTTATCATGAATGACCATAAAAATTGAAACTATAAACCATCATTAGCTTAAAAATTTCACTTTTGTGTAATTTTTCTTTCACATAGCCTTTCTAATCTTTCACATATTTATGTTGAGTCTATAATTCTGAGTTTGTTTCCTCCTTATATTTCAATTAACTCAGTAGACTTTTTGAAGTATAATAACTTTGCATATTATAGATCTTATGGTGCCCTCGGCCTGCAAGATATAATACTCCCTAAGATGTAACAGAAAATGTATTGATTTCAAGATTAGTAGTACTGACCATGTAGGTAAGATAAAATTTAATGAAAAACCAATGTTGAACTAATATATGAAGTCCTTAAAATCAATGATAATTATAATAATTTCTCCAGAAACAATGATATAACCCTTTATCAATTATTATTGCTTCACATATTTGAGAAATAGGTACGCTAATAATAACCAATCTTGGATTCAAAATTTTATTTTATGGGTGAATCTTGTACTTTCTTCCCCTCAAACGTCTATTCTCTTTGATTACTTGAGCAATGGACTAGTTAGACATTGTACTGTATCCTAGACAAATTTATTTTATAAACTTGTATAAGCCGACCTTATGGTAGTCACATTCGTTTATTTATTTTCCTCTTAATGGTATATATAGATGGATCAACATCAAACCATGTGAAAATATGAACTGAAGAATCTTTAGCAAGCAACAGAGATGCATCATTGACTATCTCAAACTCAGGAACTAAGGCCGTATGGTTATTATATTACCTTTACAAATACTAAGAGTACATGGATACCAAATCGTTCCCAAAACGCGAATGACCCTGCAATCATCAACAAATGTGATGTATACCTCAGCAACACCTTACAAAAACAAGTACCCACACATCTGTAAACAATATCATCAACATGTAGAGATACGTAAATATCTTGAGCATGTTTGCTAGTAATACTGCGATACACATCAAAGCACAACATCATGCACACATAGGTGGGGGAAATTATGTGCAGATAATAGGGATGTAAGGAAATCTCCACTTACTGTCCATCCACATTCATCACTAATGACATGCACTTATACCATGCTTCATCTGATAACTACAGTATTTCCATTGACAAAATGTAACCATCAGATATCTTGCAAATTAAGCTTTATTTTATAGTCAAATAGCATTTTTCCGAATCACAGATTTATTGCCATTAAGGGTATATGATAGAATTTTGACTACGCAAGATCGGCGAATCCGGCTTTTAAGAATTGTATGTTTCACAGGACGAGGAACCTCAGATTTATTTCCGTGCTTCATATTAGCTTCTGCAGAAGAGTATAGTGATGAATTTTACAGAAAACTCCGATTAAACGATCCTTTCGCAGTAGATAACTAAATGTGTAGTTGTCGTAGGAATGTCCTGGGTTCCGTAGACGCAGGAGATTTACATGTTCTCGATTCACCAATAAAATTTACTGCTTACACCAGCTGGGGCAACGATGACTTCGATGTGCTGGATAATCAAAAGTTCAGGAGACCCTAATCATTGAATCATTTCATTTAGTTTCGAACACGTTGATCATGCAGTGAACTTATTCGTGACTGCTCTCTCCCCGACTAACCTCAATCCATTCCTGTCGCTATCGGTCTGAGTGGCAGGTAAGGCGTCGTGACCACCACTGGCTAGCGCTCTCTAACCCTACCATCCTCACCTCTGCAATCGCCCAGAATGGACAGGTAGCGAGAGAGAAAGAGAGAGTCATGGTGGTCCGTTCGGGTCCACGCCGATGAGAAACGGCTTGGCCGAGCTGTTGGTGTGTTCTGGCCTCAGCACATGGATTGTCAACTGGAAGTCCAAGTGGTGAGAGCTCCTCTTTAACGTTATTGGCCTTTCTGCTCCCTATCGCCGTGCCAACTGCTTTCGCCTTCGCCTGGCCGACTGTACCGCGTGTGGCGTTTATTTCGCAGAGCTAGAGACGCAACAGAGGTCTATTCTCCCCCATACAGGCGCGCGTGACCGGGCGCGGCTCTGTCGGGTTGGATGCCTTGAGATAATGTGGACTTGGTGCGGTTGGGACCGCAGGTCGCAACAGAGCGTCCACCCTCTTCCCGGGACCGCTCCACAGGATTATCGATGGGTCTCTCTCTCTTTCGCTCTCGCTCGTTCTGGGTTTTTCGTTTGATCATTGTCTACAACGAATCCGACCCCACTTGGGTACGAGTCGTGCCCATCAGTAGCCTTGCGAAACTTGTCATCATGTAGGAAACCTTCAATGAAATATCCCTGCGCAACGACGACAATGTCCCCGGACAAGTTGCGGTGAATTCGTTACAGACCTCGGTTCAATCAGTCGACTCATCAGGGAGGAGGTTAGAGAGAGACAGAGAGAGGGGCCAAAGTTATTAAAGCTCCCGATATTCTGGAAATTGTACACAGGCAAGACGGCCAACTTGCAGTCTTTTTCGGATGCAGCGGCGCACATGCAAGCCTGCGGTGTCCGGTGTGGGTCCCGTGGGGATCGTCATATAGTCTGTTGATTCCGGACCGATTGATTCATTGATCTAAACAACGTCAAAGCCAATGCGGCAAAGATATTTTCTTCTGCCTTGGAGCAAAACGTTATGTGACGCTAATTTATACCTCACCTGACTGGAAGCGAAATGCTAACCGAAGACAGTTTCGTTTTATTTCATGATCTAGTGATGGAAATTAGATGTTCCTTACTATCCTCATAACCCACCCTCCTGTATATCAAATATCGATCATTTTAGAAGCAAATTATTTTATAATGATGTATTATTATCTCAGTCGTATCCTACATGTCCTTCATTATTTATATTTTGGACAATCAGCGAAGGCTCCTTAGAAATGATGAAAGCTACCATGTGCTACGCTAGTCTCCCATTCTTGACAATTTTGGTCCAAGCATGGCAGAGTCTGAACTAGGTGGAGCTATTCATGTGGCAAGTCAAACTCAAGACTACAATCACATGAAGAATCATGTCTCGTATCTCCAAGACTGAGGGGGAAGTCATGAACAGAACCCCATGTTCTAATTCCAACTTTCCCGAATTTCATCCAATGTGTGGCTCCAAAAATATTCTCCGAAGTCAAATGTAGGCATCTTCCGAGCTACATCGCCTCTTATGAGTTCCAAGCAACTTATTCGTATCATGAGAGCACAGAGGGATTCCATTATGATGTCACCAAGAAGACTGACCCTTATATGATTTTATGAAACTATTAAACTGATAGCTGTCCTCACATTACCGTCTTACTGAGTACCATGTCACTACCACCACAACCATTCCAAAGAAATAGGAGATCAAGGTATTGCCAAGATTTATGTCATTCTTCAAGAACAATGTAGGCACTCCGTTAGTCTCACATCCTCTCACACTGTTATATAAAGCCCATTTTTCATGGTCTATTTAACTGACTGAAAAGGTTCATCCAAACCACCTTCAAAAGCTTGCTTTCCAAGAGAAATTGTCTTTAAGGGACTTCCTATGATTTTGATCAATTCAAATGTGTCATTTATTGGAAAGATACTCACCCATTGCCAAATGGGATTCTACACAAATGATTTAGATTCCTCCATTATGTATACACATGCAGGATTGCAGGTTATTTCACTTATGAGGTTCACTGTTTACGTACTTATTTTTCGTAAAAACAATAACCAAATGTCTCCAAAACATTGGTATTCTACAAGAGCAAGGAGTGATTTGACATTTCTAATAGCCAATTAATTATATGAAAATAATTTTATGCTTATTTTTAAATGGCGTAACAATTTTTCTGAATGATATTATTATCCTCTCTTCCTAACAAACCCAAGTTGAGCTTAAACTTCCATTAGTTGTTCCCAAGGAAACAAGAACTGTAATGATAAAGTAGAAAAATCTTGTGCCACCAGAAATTGGCTTTATTTTAAGTTCCCCATCCAACTGAGCTTCATTATCTTCCACTTTGGCAGAAACCATTCATAATTTTTTATATTTCAAAGGTGCAATCACTACTTTCTTCTATAGGTTGGTCTATGAGACAACATTTCCTTGTCATCTGTTCTGCAACAGTGGAACATAAACTCAACTTGTCCTAAGACTGTTGACAATTGTTAAAGCTAAATTTTTGTGTTTTAATTAATTTTAATATTTTATTTTATTTTATTAACTTTTTGAATAAGTGTCAATTTTAATAGTCTAAAGTTAAAATATTTGCATAATTTTTTATTATTAGAAAAATATAAGAGTAAAATATAAAAATATCACCGTTCACTAGCAAGCCATCACTCCACAATTGACTCGAAGGGGCGCTACATTTGAGTGGGTTGACTTAGATCAGAAGGAGCCACAAGTTAGGCTCAAGTGGTAAAGGACTTGCATCACGCATGTGTGCATCACTCTCCTACCACATCCCGATGGCCAACAAGTCATGGAGTAAGGAGCATTGTTGATAAGTCAAGACTTGGGATGTCATAGGTCCTAAGTCAGATTATCTAAAACTATTTATATTTTTACTATCCTAATCAATCTAATAAGTAGAGAGAGTAAGATAGGGGTCGAACCACAATGATAAAAACTAATGATCTTAAGAAATCCTAAGTAATGAGAAGAAATAGGTTAAAAATGGACAAGAAAAAGAGAGATGAGAGATGAGTGGGAGATGAGAAACATGAGTGAAATAGGATGTAATGAAGGAAACCCTAGAGCAAGGTTGACCTAAGGGGTTGTAGAAAAAAGGTTTTGAGAGTATTTTAATGAGAAAGAGTGGTCAAGGTTGACAAGAAATAATGTAACTACTAAGAACATATCTAACACCCTAGGTTTCACCCTAGAGAATAAGAAAAGGAAACAAATAAGCAAAGGGAAGAAGATTGCTCAACGTGGGCCTTTATCTATTACCATGGCCAGGTGATTTACTCTGATAGATTGACCTCCAATGCTTTACTCCTTGCAACTCGATCCTCAACACTCAACTTTGTCCTTAAGGTCTTTCTTAATTACTCAAAATTACACAAAAGGAGAAGAAGAATAAATCTTTAGAATAGAAGTGGTTTCACTCTAACCAACCACTATTGGGGCCCTTCCAAAAAGATAAGGAAAGAGGATGAAGGGTATACATATAAGTAGTAAAGTTTCTCAAAATACCCTTGGTTCTTTCTCAAAATACCTCTAGCTTTTCTCCTTTTGTCTTCACCACCTTCTTGAAGCCGATTTGTCAATCCAAATATGGGGATGTGAAGAGCACATCTTGAAGATTGTACCAACAAAATTTGGGCCTAAAACCTCTTCTAGATCGTCAAATATCGATCCTAGAAGATGGAGAAATCTAGGTCATTGATTGGGTGTCTCTACCATAAAAGGACCACCAAAAGGAGAAGAGAGATCTTTAACCGCTGCTTACAGTGACAAGATAGGCTTAACTACTGCTTTTGGCGGAAACACTTTCGGTGAAGAGACATGCTTAATTGTCATTTTTGGTGGGAGAACATGCTCAATTGCTGCTTTTTATGGGAGAACATGTTTACCTTCCACTTTTGGTGGGAGATGTGCTTAACCATCATTTTATATGACAAGACGTGCTTAACTACCACTTTTGGTGGGAAGATGTGCTTAACTGCCACTTTCGGTCTCAAGACGTTATTAACTACTACTTTCAGTGGCAAGACATTTTTAACTACCACTTTTGGTGACAAGACATTCTTAACCACCGAAATAAGAGGCACAATAATTGATTGGCAGTCAATGTCTTCTCGCCTTCTACGTGCAATACCTCATTTTCTTGCATTCAACATAATAGTGGCTTGAATTAAATAATCATGATGCCGCCAGATCACATACGACGGAGTGTCAAATACATATAAAAATCCAGCGGCTAACATGTATTGTTAATTGTGAAAAATTGCAGAAAAGCCCCTAAATGTGTGAAATAAAATACAAGTATTTCCCTAAATTACCTAAATATCCTCATGATTTAAATATATCAAAATAAATTCAAAAAAAAGTCATAAAAATCTGAGAATATTTTTAAAATAGAAAAAAAAAAGATTTATTATAAATTTATTATTTGGCTATTTTATAAATGGTAACATACTAAAATAAGGTATCTGATCCTAAAATACATTCACTTTAAGGTAATGAATAAGTAGTTTTAGCATATTATTAGTCATATACACATGTGGATGTGAGGGCGAACCACCTATTTCCTTCTCCCAAGATGGTCTTAGACATTATTTTATTTTGGGAGAAACAATCTCTATTAAGAGATTGTAACTTTGACATATATTTAGTTTAATCAAAAGTAAACTTCTAATGTGGGACTAAATGTTCTCTTTTCTTTCAAGGCAGTGGCCTAGAGCATGATGTGATCTAGAGGCGCTCAACAAGCCACATTACCAAATAAGGTAGATCTTGTGGTGGGTGAATAGTCATGATACCTGAATCGTGCAACATTCTATTAGTGGTCTGTGAATTCGATGCTGCTCAACATGCATGTGATTGGAAATGATGATTCGATAGTGAGCAAAGTGCCACGGTACTAGAGACTTAAGTTTTGGTCGGCAACAATTCATGGCGGGTTAATCTTGTGTTGTTCAGCATGCCACGTGACCAAACACATCTGATCTAGCGGCTCAAGCATCACAATACCAAGAACTAAGTTTTTACACATATCACTGTCAAAGATATAAAGATAATAATTGATTATTATTTAGTAAAATAGATATTATCAATTATCTTTATAAACTCAATAGTAGTCACGAATATGGAATCCATTTATTTCCTCCTTTTGCACGATCAACGCCTCTAGTGATTAGTGAGCTCATTTCTTCCTTCCCCGACTATACTCAAGGCCTCCAACAAGTGGTCAGCTCTTTCTTTCTCCCCCTAGACGACAGTGACAGCATGGTTGACCCCTCCTTTTAATAGATCTCTCTAGCAAGTAGCATACCATTTCTAAACGATATTTCTACGTCTTTCAACATGGTGTGGCATGTTTGAACGAAACCAAGCTGCTACATGACGTGACTCAGTCGTTGTATATTAAATCACGCAAATCTAAAATTTATAAAACTAGAAAATATGAATTTTCGGATATTTAGAAGTATTTCTGAACAAATATCTCAATTATAATTCAATAAAACTTCCAAAAATAGCGGTAATTTTCCAAGTTGATCACAGGGATGTAATATAATATATGGTAATTATTCAGAATTTTTCTCAATGAATATGAATTTCTATGAATTATATACCAGGAAATGAAAAGAAAATATATTTAAAATTCACGAAAAAGGGAAATAAGGGTGCGGACGTCAGGATGACGTCAGCACCTGGCAAACGCAAATCGGGCAAAAACAGAGTTCTGCCCGGTGATTCTTACGTAAGTGATTATAGATGATTTAATTAATCAAATTAAGATCTGTAAAAGTCGGAAGAATCATAATAGAACAAAGTATATTTTGGTAAATTAAAATCACAAAAACTATCACTAAATGAAGCGTAAAGTAAGTTGAAAGCAGGAAAACAGAGTTTCGGCGTCGCGACGACGATGCGTCGGTGATGCACCGGAATCCTGAGCGTTTAGGAGGATCGTCGTGTAGTGTCCACGGCCTCAAAGGCTCTCCTTGGACAAAGACGACATGGGCAATCTCTAGATCTCCTTTTGAAGTCTAGAGATCAATGGAATGGGTCGTCGAGTCATCTCCGGCGGCTGTCACCCGGCGGAGCGGAAAAATGGCGACTTTGCAGCTCTCTGGTGGCTGTCACCCGACGGAGAGGAGCTGGATGGAGGTGGGGCGCATGTCAGGGAGCTTCATCCTCAAGTCCGCGCAGCAAGAGGAGGCTCTTCATCGCATCTGGTACGCTCTCAAGAGGTGGCGACTCGTCTCTCGGCGGATCATCCTCTTCTCGACGACGGCTTGTTCGTCGATCAATCGGAGATGATTTACTCGATGGATTCGCGATCCTTTTATCGCGAATCGTTCAGCAATTTTAGTAGCAATGCTTTGCGAATCGCGTTGACAAGATTTTCGCCGATGATCTAGTGCAGGAAAGTTGCGATAATCAGATAAAAATATATGAATTTTGACTCTGGGAGGATTCGAACCCGCGCCGGTTGTCCGCCCCTTCTAAGGAAGGTGTGACGCGGGTTTAGTCCCACATCGGTTGTGTGCCGATTTTTCGGGTGAATATATAGTAATGTTAGCTTTCTAAGCAAAGTTCCTTCCCTCACGTGTACGACCACTCCTTGCCCCACAGCCGACTGGCCACTGGTGACATGGAAGGGGAGTGGCGCACACGTGCCCCTATCAGTCCAAGCCGCTCGAGCTCCTGCTCGCGGCTACTCCCCGACTGAGCTTCCGACCCGCTTGCGGGCCCGGCTGGCCGGCAGGTCCCCTCATTTTGCAATATTTTAGTTTTATTTCTTTTTCTTCATTTATCTCAAAAGTAAGACTGTAAAAATCATATAAATTCGTATAAAATCACATAACTACCCAAAAAATCACATTAATCAACTAAAAACCACTTTTCACACTTTAACACAAATATAAGTCTATTTATCATGAGTTAAGGCTAAAACTATATTATTTACTAATTATTAACTCATGATAATGAAGACTTATCGCACCCCCCAACTTAAACCATTGCTAGTCCCTTAGCAATGGAATTACGAAAATAAAAATTTACAAATCTCAAACATCATATTTCAATACAAAAAAAAATAAAAATACAATTAGAAATGATGCACCTTTAGACACTTTGGACTCTTATATCAAGTATTTAAGAATGATGTCAAGCACTTAAATGTTTAAACACTCCTTGGAATAACAATCTATACTTCACTTCTTCTATTCACATCTTTATCACTTCTTCACTCATAGATGTATTTACAAGATGTTCCAATTATCAATACTCATCCAAGAATAATATTGATCCTACATTTCCCTTTTTCTATGGCTTGATTTTTGAAGTTTGCACTATATTTCTTCTTTCTCTTTTTTCTTTTTTATATATAGTGGATAAGTAGGTTTTCTTGTCGACAAATTTCGACAATAAGAATGATGTCTCACACCCTCCATGTGTACTCTTCATTTTCAGGGCTTTCACTTTATCCACTTATTTTGCAGCAAGTGTTTTTCTATACACGATTTTCAACAATGAGAATGATGTCTCACACCCTCTATGTGTACTCTTCGTTTCTAGATTTTTCACATTGTTCTCTCTCTTTTTTTTTTCGAAATAAGTGATTTCTCCTCACAAGTCCTATAGATCAGGGTGCAAAAATCTCCATTAAACTTAAATGATCAATCAAATTTTCACATCAAGTAAATATTATCCATCAAGATCATGAAGTGAGAATCTGTAAAATCAAATCCATGTTATCTATCATGTATCCAAGGAGTATTCCAACATTTCATGCTACTAGATCATTCTTTTGACTCAATAATAATCTTCCTAGTATCTTTTGGTATCAATCAATCTAATTGATTTAATTTTTCATGCATGTAATATGATGTAAAAGATTTGTAAATTAGATAGTTCTGACAGTTCTATTTTCTGTTTTCAGTTATATTTTTAGCAGTAATAAATTTGTCAAAAATAAATCAAAACTATCCTCTTTATAGCTGTAATTTCGAATTTCAGTAATATATGTCTAGGGGATTGAAATGTGAGAAAAGGGTCTCTAGAATTTCAAATTTGGGGCTGTTTTTTGTCTGCTATTTTTGACAGTCTATTGTTCTTGACAGAAAACCAGAAAATAGATGTTGCAGTTTTTCTGAATTTTATTTTATTTTTTTATTTTTTTAATTGCTGTTCTAAGTTGAATAAAATGCAAACACATGTTCTTAATCGTCCTACAGCATAAATTAATAATGAATACTTCACCCCCCAACTTAAAAATGACATTGTCCTCAATGACACAGAAAAATCGAAACAGAATATGCAGAAAATATAATTTTCAAGTGAAGCATGCATACATGCAAAGTTTAGCATTAAAAATGTTGTCATAAATGATAAAGCTCCGAAAGACATCACCTAAACCTCGTTTTTAATTTTCCACTTCATCTTACACTCCTCCTCTTGCACTTTTTCGAAAAAACAAATACAGAAACAAGTACTGCGAAATTCTAAGAAAAACAGAGCTTAAAAAAATTCAAACAAAATGAAATAAAAGTCATGGGTTGCCTCCCATGCAGCGCTGAATTTAATGTCTTCAGCTGGACAACTCTGAGATCATATAAGATGATCTATGGCCATCAAAATATATTTGTATCCCAAGGTAAGTTTCATGATATTCTTTTTCAAATTTAGCATAAATTCATATACTTCATATATATACCTTGACATACTTTCAGCCAAAACAAAATTAACAAAATCTTCCCAAAAATAATATTTCCATTTTGAAAAGAATCTTTCCTCATTTCTATCTTGTTTTGTAAAGCTCTCATTCATTAATAAATACTTTTTATTAATAGACCATAAAATGTGATCAGGCCATATAATTTTCAAATTAGCTCTTACCCAATCTAGAATTTTTTCATCTAAATTGATATCTTTAATTCTTCCATTCATCCATTTCTTAATGTCTTCTTTTATCTTCATAATCTTCCCCTGCTCTATTTCATCTTCCATACATATTTGTTCAATTTGTGAGGAGTGAAATATTTTAAGCTTAGAAGTAATTCTAATGGGCTGTGGGTTTTGAAGGATGGAAGGATTGTCTTCTTTAATCTCAGATCTAATGAATTCAGTAAAATTCAAATTTTCTCTTCGAAAATTATCTCTATATTCATATTCATTATTTTCATTTCTCCCCATTAGTTGAATCAACTCTTTTTCTAGCTTTTCATTTCTCAACTCATCAAATTTTTCATCTTCCCAAGAGCTATCTTTTAATTTCGGTATATGATATACATCATCATCCTCACAATCAACATCCATGGCTATAAAATTATGATTAGATTTATTAATTACGTCTCCTACATCTCCCAAATCAACTGATTTTTCCTCACCTGAAATATGTTTTTCTTCATTTGTGTCCTTACTCCCTTCTACTAAAATTTGGATGATTTTTCCATGATCAGCTGTTGTTTCTTCATCTAAGGGCTCTTTCTCCTCATCATCCTCACTATATTCATTCATCAATTGTGAGCAATAAATGATTTTATTCAAATTTTCTGCTACTATATTTTCAGCCTTAATATTCTCATTTACTTCTAATGGCTCATCAATTTCTTCTAATAATTGGAAATAAGGATCAGGTAAAATATTCTCACTCAATGTATTCACTGACCTAACATTTTCATTTCGTGGGTTTTTTTCTAAATTTATCCAGCTAGACTCTCGTTGCTGAAATCTTACTGTTGGACAGTTTCCTGAATTCTTGCCTAGGATGATATTGAAATTCGAAATGATCATTTTCACCATACATAAGATGTGTACTATTTGAATTAAATTGAGGGTTAAGAGGCTTTCTAATATTGTCAATAAGTAAATCAAGTTTTTCTAATCTTTGATTAATCTGATTAACCTCATTTCTAAGTTTAGAATCATCATCATGATGCAATTTATAAATTCCTCTCGTCTTATCCTAGTCATATAATTCAAAAGAGGCTTGATCTTTCGAATTTTCACTTAAATTCTCATAAAGGTTGTAAATCTCATCAGGGGTTTTCTCCATAAAAGCTCCTCCACATATAGAATCAACCATATTTCTATGTTGTTCTAATAATCCATCATAAAAAATTCTATTGAGCTGCCACTTGGGTATAGCATGATGAGGGCACTTTCTAAGTAAATCTTTGAATGTTTTCTGATGTCTCATGTAAAGTTTCTCCTGATCTTTGAGAAAAACTCCATATATGTTTTCTTATATTTTTGGGTTTTTCCTAAGGGATAAAATTTTCGAAGAAAGGCCTATTCTATGTCTTTTCAGCTTGTTAATTCTCTATCTAATGTGGATAGCCAATGGCTAGCTTTGTCCCTAAGTGTATTAGGAAATAATTTCATCTTAATAATTTCTGGTGTAACTTGAGGGAGATTAACTAAATCATGGACCATATGAAATTTTTCTAAGTGCTGATGAGGTTCCTCTAAAGGCAATCCATGAAAATTAGGGAGCATTTGAAAAAATTTTGGATTTATTTCGAATTTAACAGTGGGTGCTAATGGGACTCTAATATTGGATGCTCTTTGAAATGAATCAGGGATATAATTAATTTTTCTTTTGGATTTTTAGTTTTGAATGAAATAATGAAAGGATTTTCTAGCCTTGGATGCAAGGATCTTCTACCATGCATAAAAATCAATAAATTTGAGGGAAAAGTTTAGTAATTGTTACCCTCCTTCAGTATGCTTCAGTCCTTGCCTTGCTTCTTTTCGTTCCCTTTTCTAAAAAAAAAATCAACAAGAAGAAAATAAAACAAGAGTTAATTTTTTTTTTTTGTGTACTCTAAGAGAAAAACAGAAAAATACTAAATATTATGCAATACATCCCAGGCAATGGTGCCAAAATTTGACGTGACTTAGTCGTTGAATACTAAATCACGCAAATCTAAAATTTTTAAAACTAGAAAATATGAATTTTCAGATATTTAGAAGTATTTCCGAACAAATATATCAATTATAATTCAATATAACTTCCAAAAATAGCGGTAATTTTCTAGGTTGATCATTGGGATGTAATATAATATATGGTAATTATTCAGAATTTTCCTCAATGAATGCGATTTTCTATGAATTGTATACTAGGAAATGAAAAGGAAATATATTTAAAATTCACGAAAAAAGGAAATAAGGGTGCGGACGTCAAGATGACATCAACGCCCGGCGAACGCGAATCGGGTGGAAACAGAGTTCCGCCTGGCGATTCTTACGTAAGTGATTACAGACGATTTAATTAATCAAATTAAGATCTATAAAAGCCGGAAGAATCGTAATAGAACAAAGTATATTTTGGTAAATTAAAATCACAAAAACTATCACTAAATGAAGTGTAAAGTAAGTTGAAAGCAGGAAAACAGAGTTCCGGCGTCGCGACGGCGATGCGTCGACGATGCACCAGAATCCTGAGCTTTCGGGAGGATCATCATGTAGTGTCCACGGCCTCGAAGGCTCTCCTTGGACAAAGACGACGTGGGCAATCTTTAGATCTCCTTTTGAAATCTAGAGATCAATGGAATGGGTCGTCGAGTTGTCTCCAGCAGCTGTCACCTGGCGGAGCGGAAAAACGGCGACTTTGTGGCTCTCTGGCGGCTATCACCTGATGGAGAGGAGCTGGATGGAGGTGGGGCGCATGTCAGGGAGCTTCATCCTCAGGTCCGCGCAGTAAGAGGAGGCTCTGCATCGCATCTGGTACGCTCTCAGGAGGTGGTGACTCGTCTCCCGGCGGATCGTCCTCTTCCCGACGACGGCTTGTTCGTGGATCAATCAGAGATGATTTACTTGATGGATTCGCAATCCTTTTATTGTGAATCGTTCAGCAATTTTAGTAGCAATGCTCCGCGAATCGCGTTGACAAGATTTTCGCCAATGATCCAGCGAGTCTCATTGCTTAATCCTTCACCGGCGATCTGCAGGAAAGTCGCGATAATCAGATAAAAATATATGAATTTTGACTCTAGGAGGATTCGAACCCGCGCCGGTTGTCCGCCCCTTCTGAGGAAGGTGTGACGCGGGTTTAGTCCCACATCAGTTGTGCGCCGATTTTTTAGGCGAATATATAGTAATGTTAGCTTTCTAAGCAAAGTTTCTTCTCTCGCATGTACGACCACTTTTTGCCCCACAACCGGCTGGCCACCAGTGACGTGGAAGGGGAGTGGCGCACATGTGCCCCCATCGGTCCAAGCCGCTCGAGCCCCTTCTCGTGGCTACTCCCCGACTGAGCTTCCGACCCACTTGTAGGCCCGGCTGGCCGGTGGGTCCCCCATTTTGCAATATTTTTATTTTTATTTCTTTTTCTTTATTTATCTCAAAAGTAAGATTGTAAAAATCATATAAAATCACATAATTAACCAAAAAATCACATTAATCAACTGAAAACCACTTTTCACACTTTAACACAAATATAAGTCTATTTATCACGAGTTAAGGCTAAAACTATATTATTTACTAATTATTAACTCATGATAATGAAAACTTATCACTACACTATTGTCTCAAGTTGCCTAAGCGATAGACTAAATTTAGGCAATGATTTTTTTTATACTTTCAGTATTTATTTACCTACTTTGACATTTATTTCTATTTTCTGATAATTTATTTCTATTTCGTGCATATTTTGATTAAAATGAGTAGGACTAATTCAAAACTTGACGAATGATGTTTGTTCTTTTTCTTAATCCTCCAAAATTCATCTAAGATCAAGCTAAGATCATTTTCAATTTATTTTCTATTGATTTTCATAGTCAAATCTTGATATATTCATATTTCCTACATTTGTAAATAATAAGTATTTTTTTATTTTCAAACGTAAGATCAACGAGATTAAAGGCTGCTCAATGATTGTTGAACTGTTAAAACAAGATAGAGTTATTCACGATTGACCTCAGGTCATGTGTGTGAATTCTTGAGCACACATTTATCCGCGAATAATGGTCATTGTGAAAATGAGTTGATTGTATTTCTCTCTTTCATTATTATCATTTTATTATTTCTCTCTTCCTCTCTCATGAGACCTTTTCTTCTCTCTACGTCTCTTGTGAGATCTCTCTCCCTCTCTCTCTCTCTCTCTCTCTCGATATCCTTCTCTTTTTCTCTCTCTCCCTGATCTCTCTTCCTCTCTCTCTCTCTCGATCTCCTCTTTTTCTCTCTCAATTGATCTTCTTCTCTCTCCCTGATCTCTCTTCCTCTCTCTCTCTCTCTCTCGATCTCCTTCTCTTTTTCTCTCTCGATTGATCTTCTTCTCTCTCTCCCTAATCTCTCTTTCTCTCTCTTTCATGAGAGCTCTCTTTTCCTCCTTCCTTTAGTCTTCTCACCTCGCTTGTTTATTTTATTATTTCTATTAAATAGTGATAAAATATTAAAATCACTCTATATAAACTAAATTAGTTTTTTACAACAGACTAATCAATCTCTCTGTGTTCGACCTAAAACTTATATTAGATTAGACCATAGAGTCTGGTTAGTATTGGGCTCTAATTGATATCACCCTACTAGTCCAACATATGACCCTACAAGTTGCATTTCTAATTAGATCCTTGTTAAGAGTTCTCACCCACATTGAAGGTGCTCTTGACCATCACGTCAACATGTCAACTATTGGTTGTTAAGAACCATGTTGTCAAGAAGAGAATAGATGGCATGAGATAACATGAAGTCAACATGGGAATTTTAGCCTCTTAGTGTTAAAAAGAGACCATAGCCTAGTAAGAGGGTAGGTAGCTTTTAGGTAGTTCCCTAAGGAAGGAGAGGAGATTGATCATCTTGAATCAAGTCTATTCTAGAGGAGAGGAGATTTACCTACACCATCTCATTATTCATCTTCCTCTCATTTTCAATTTGTTTCCTTGTATGTTATTCTATTGGTTCTCATCCGTTGGAGTATCATTAGTCTATTTATTAATCCAACCATCCTCCTTACATAGGAGTCTAATAACGGCCCACCAATGGAAGATAGGGGGTGATAAGTCTTCATTATCATGAGTTAATAATTAGTAAATAATATAGTTTTAGTTTTAACTCATGATAAATAGACTTATATTTGTGGGAAAGTGTGAAAAGTGGTTTTCAATTGATTAACATAAATTTGTGGGTAATTATGTGATTTTATACAAATTTATATGATTTTTACAGTCTTACTTTTGAGATAAATGAAGAAAAATAAATAAAAATAAAAATAAGACAAAATGGTGGGGACCCGCTGGCCAGCGGGGCTTGCAAGCGGCCCGGAAGCACAATCATGGAGTAGCCGCAAGTAGGGGCTCGAGCGGCTTGGACCAATAGGGGCATATGTGTGCCACTCCTCTTCCACGTCACCAGTGGCCAGCCGGCTATGGGACAAGGAGTCGTCGTACACGAGTGAGAAAGGGACTTGATCGGAAATGTAATATTATTATATATTCGCCAGAAACTTTAGTGCACAATCGATGTGGGACTAAACCCGTGTCACCTTCCCTAGAAAGGGCGGGCAACCGGCGTAGGTTCGAATCCTCCCAGAGCCAAAACTCATATTTTTATCTAATTATCGCGACTTTCTTGCAGATCACCAGTGAAGGATTAAGCCACCAGAATCACTGGATCATCGGCAAAAATCTCATCAACGTGATTCGCAGAGCATTGTTACTAAAATTGCTGAAGGATTCACGATAAAAGGATCGCGAATCCATCGAGTAAATCATCTCCGATTGATCGACGAACAAACTATTGTCAAGAAGAGGACGATCTGCCGGGAGACGAGACGCCACCTCCTGAGAGTGTATAATCACTCTAGGACATCCAAATCTCGAAAAAATATTTTCCTACACAAATTTCATAACGATTTTATGATCATTAGTTCTAGTAGGAATAGCTTCCACCCACTTCGACACATAATCAATAGCAAGCAAAATATATTCATATTTTTCAGCTGATGGGAAGGGACCCATGAAATCTATTTGCCATACATCAAAAATTTCGACTACTAACATGTTTCTCATGGGCATTTTATCTTTTTTACTCATGTTACCTATAGATTGGCATGAAATACATGTTCTACTAAATTTTATAGAATCTCTAATGATTGTAGGCCAATAAAAACCACACTGAAAAATTTTTGCAGCTATTTTTTGTCTAGAGAAATGTCCTCCACAGTTAGATGAATGGCACATGTTAATAATGCTATGATATTCTTCTTCAGGAACATATCTCCTTAAAATTTGATCATTGCCCAAGTAATATAAATTAGGATCATGCCAAAAATAATTTCTAATCTTAGAAAAGAAATGATGTTTTCTATTCTTATCCCACTGTTCTGGAGTTTTTCCAGAAACTAGAAAATTAACAATATGTGCATACCATGGTGATGGTTGATGTTGAGCTGCCATCAATTGTTCATCTAGAAATGCGTCTTGTAAAGATGCTGCATTTATTCCTGTATCACTTAATCTAGAAAGATGGTCAGCAACAACATTCTCGAAACCTTTTTTATCTTTTATTTCTAAGTCAAATTCTTGCAACAATAAAATCCATCTTAATAAATGTGGCTTTGCATGTTTCTTATTTAATAGATATTTTAATGCTGCATGATCAGTATAAATAATAATTTTAGCTCCCAAAATATATGATCTAAACCTTTCTAACGAAAATACTATAGCGAACAACTCTTTTTCAGTCATGGTATAATTTAATTGAGCATCGGATCTAGTTTTACTAGCATATGAAATTACTATGGGTTTTGACTCTTTTGTTTGTCCTAGAATGGCCCCCACTGCATAATTCGATGCATCACATATTATTTCAAAGGGAAAGGACCAATCAAGAGCTTGTAAAATAGGTGCCTCAGTAAGTAATCTTTTTATTTCAGAAAAAGACTTAAAACATTTCTCATCAAAATTAAAAGGCACATCTTTAGATAATAGCATGGTGAGAGGTTTAGAAATTTTCGAAAAATCTTGAATAAATTTTCTGTAATAACCTGCATGACCCAAGAAAGATCTAATCTATTTTACTGAATTTAGAGGTTTCATTTTAGATATAATATCATTTTTTGCTCTATCCACCTCTAAACCCCTTTCACTCACAATATGACCCAACACAACTCCCTCTCTAACCATAAAATGTGATTTCTCCCAACTCAAAACTAATTTTTTCTCTATGCATTTCTCAAGTACATGCTGTAAATGATTTAAGCATTCATCAAATGATTCACCAAAAATAGAAAAATCGTCCATAAAAATTTCCATGCATTTTTCAATCATATCAGAAAAATAAGATAGCATACATCTTTGAAATGTGGCTGGAGCATTACACAGACCAAAAGGCATGCGTTTAAAAGCAAAAGTATCAAATGGACAAGTGAAAGTTGTTTTTTCTTGATCTAGAGGGTTTATATAAATTTGATTATAACTAGAGTATCCATCCAAAAAACAAAAAAAGTTTTTTCCAACTAATTTTTCTAGAATTTGATCAGTAAATGGTAGGGGAAAATGATCTTTTGTAGTAACTGAATTTAATTTTCTATAATCAATGCAAACCCTCCAACTGATAGTTAATCTTGTTTGTATTTCATCCCCATTTTCGTTTTTAATAACCATGATCCCTGATTTTTTTGGCACCACTTGTGTAGGACTAACCCATTTGCTACCTAAAATAGGATAAATAATATCAACAGCAGCCACTTTAAAATTTCTTTTTTTACAATTTCTATCATGTTAGGATTTAATCTTCGTTGTGGTTCCCTGCTAGTTCTAACCCCTTCCTCTAGATATATACTATGCATGCATACACTCATATCAATGCCCCTTAGATCGTCCATTTTCCAGCCCATAGCCTTCTTATTTTTTCAAAGTACATCTAATAATTCTTCTTCCTGTTCATCACTCAAATCAGTTGTAATAATAATAAGAAATGAATTATTTTCCTCCAAAAACAGATATTTTAAACTAGAGGGAAGAGGTTTCAACTCTAAATTCAAATGATCTTTCTCTCTCTTTTCTGCCAAATTTATATTCTCTATTTCCTCTAATTCTTCCAGCACACAGTCATCAATAACATCTGGATCATCAAAATCATCTAGAAGGTCTATGGTATGATAATCATATACTTGTGATTTCTTAAGATCATTTGGTACCTCAAAAATTTTAATTTCTACTGATTGATCTCCACATGAAATTTTTGCAACACCTGTGGGAAAATCAATATTCATCTTTGCTGTATGCAAAAATGGTCTCCCTAGGATGATTGGTGTATCATAAAACTGTCCATTAAAATCCATTTCCAGCACTACAAAATCAGCTGGAAATTTACACCCTTTAATTGTCACTATCACATTTTCTAAAATACCTTTAGGATGTTTTATGGATCTATCAGTAAATTGTAAGGTAACAATAGAAGGTTTAAGATCAGAAATATTAAATTTATCACAAATACTTGCAGGTAATAAATTAATACCAGCACCGGTGTCAAGTAATGCATTCTGAAAAATGGATCCACCCATATCACACGAAATTAAAGGGGCACTTGTATCTCTCAATTTATATGGCAATTGATTTACTAATAATGCACTAGCATGCATAGATAATTTTTCTACTCTTGGTGCCCTTTTTGGTGTACACATTTCTTTCAAAACTCTAGCATATTCAGGAATATGTTCAATAGCAATGAGTAAAGGAAGACTAATTTGCACATCTTGTAAAATTTTCTTTATTTCTTCATTGTGTTCCTTTTTCTTTGTCTAGGCTCTAAAGCTTTAGGAAATGGAATGGTTGTCCTCTCTTTCGAAATTTCCTTGGTAGAATCTATAAAATCCTCTTCTACTCCTATTTGATTTTGTTTTGGGTTGTCCACATTTTCTTTTTCTTCTAATGTTTGGGGATAAGGATCAGGTAAGATCTTACCACTCCTTAATGCATTCACTGTCCTAACATTTTCATTTCGTGGGTTTTTTCCTAGATTCATGCTACTAGATTCTCCTTGCTGAAATCCTATTGTTCAGCGGTTCCCTGGATTTTCTATGGGCTGACTAGGTAGCTATCCCTCTTCTCTCTTATTCCCAAGAGCCTCTATAATTTGTTTCTGGTGCATCATCATTTGATTCATAGTTTGTAAAATTATTCCTCTAATTAGGATTATAAGAATTTGAAAAAGGTTCCCTATTTTTATTAAAACCGTGAGCTACTTGCACTTGTTCTTGCATAGAGTGAAATGATTGATCTAAATTATAGCATTGAAATTCAGAATAATCATTTTCATCATACATAGGACATGTACTATTTGAATTAAATTGAGGGTTAAAAGGCTTTCTAATATTGTCAATAAGTAAATTAATTTTTTCTAATCTTTGATTAATCTGATTAACCTCATTTCTAAGTTTAGAATCATCATCATGATGCAATTCAAATATTCCTCTCTTCTTATCCCTATCATATAATTCAAAAGAGGCTTGATCTCTAGAATTTTCACTTAAATTCTCATAAAGATTGTAAATCTCATCAGGAGTTTTCTCCATAAAAACTCCTCCACATATAGAATCAACAATATTTCTATGTTGTTCTAATAATCCATCATAAAAAATTCTATTGAGCTGCCACTTGGGTATAGCATGATGAGGACACTTTCTAAGTAAATCTTTGAATTTTTCTGATGTCTCATATAAAGTTTCTCCTGGTCTTTGAAAAAAACTTCATATATGTTTTCTCATATTTTGAGTTTTTCCTAAGGGATAAAATTTTCGAAGAAAGGCCTATTCTATGTCTTTCCAACTAGTTAATTCTCTATCTAATGTGGATAGTCAATGGCTAGCTTTCTCTCTAAGTGTATGAGGAAATAATTTCATCTTAATAATTTTCAGTGTAACTTGAGGGAGATTAACTAAATCATAGACCATATGAAATTTTTCTAAGTGCTGATGAGGTTCCTCTAAAGGCAATCCATGAAAATTAGGGAGCATTTGAAAAAAAATTGGATTTATTTCGAATTTAACATTGGGTGCTAATGGCACTCTAATATTAGATGCTCTTTGAAATGAATCAGGGATATAATAATTTTTCATGACCATAGGATTGTTCTCAGTTTGACCTGTACTTCCTTCAGGATTCATCAAAATTAATTTTTCTTTTGGATTTTTAGTTTTGAATGAAATAATGAAAGGATTTTCTAGCCTTGGATGCAAGGATCTTCTACCATGCATAAAAATCAATAAATTTGAGGGAAAAGTTTAGTAATTGTTACCCTCCTTCAGTATGCTTCAGTCCTTGCCTTGCTTCTTTTCGTTCCCTTTTTCTAAAAAAAAATTGGCAAAAAGAAAATAAAACAAGAGTTAAATTATTTTTTTGTGTACTCTAAGAGAAAAACTGAAAAATACTAAATATTATGCAATACATTCCCAGCAATGGCACCAAAATTTGACGTGACTTAGTCGTTGAATATTAAATCACACAAATCTAAAATTTTTAAAACTAGAAAATATGAATTTTCAGATATTTAGAAGTATTTCTGAACAAATATATCAATTATAATTCAATATAACTTCCAAAAATAACGATAATTTTCTAGGTCGATCATTGGGATGTAATATAATATATGGTAATTATTCAGAATTTTCCTCAAAGAATACTATTTTATATGAATGTTATACTAAGAAATGAAAAGGAAATATATTTAAAATTCACGAAAAAAGGAAATAAGGGTGCGGACGTCAAGATGACGTCAGTGCCCGGCGAACGCGAATCGGGTGAAAATAGAGTTCCGCCCGACGATTCTTACATAAGCGATTACAGCCGATTTAATTGATCACATTAAGATCTATAAAAGCAGAAAGAATCGTAAGTGAACAAAGTATATTTTGGTAAATTAAAATCACACAAATTATCGCTAAATAAAGCATAAAGTAAGTTGAAAGTAGGAAAATAGAATTCTGGCGTCGCGGCGGCGATGCGTCGGCGATGCACCGGAATCCTAAGCATTCAGGAGGATCGTCGTGTAGTGTCCACGGCCTCAAAGGCTCTCCTTGGACAAAGACGACGTGGGCAATCTCTAGATCTCCTTGCGACGTCTAAAAATCAATAAAATGGGTCGTCGACTCATTTCCAGCGGTTCTCACCTGGTGGAGCAGAAAAACGGCGACTTTGCAGCTCTCCGACGGTTGTCACCCGATGGAGAGGAGCTGGATGGAGGTGGGGCGCGTGTCAGGGAGCTTCATCCTCAGGTCCGCGCAGCAAGAGGAGGCTCTTCATCGTATCTGGTACGCTCTCAGGAGGTGGCGACTCATCTCCCGGCGGATCGTCCTCTTCTCGACGACGGCTTGTTCGTCGATCAATCAGAGATGATTTACTCAATGGATTCACGATCCTTTTATCGCGAATCCTTCAGCAATTTGAGTAACAATGCTCCGCAAATCACGTTGACGAGATTTTCGCCGATGATCCAGCGATTCTAGTTGCTTAATCCTTCATCGGCGATCTGCAGGAAAGTCGCGATAATCAGATAAAAAATATAAGTTTTGGCTCTAGGAGGATTTGAACCCGTGTTGGTTGCCCCTGCCTCTTCTGAGGAAGGTGACGGGTTTAGTCCCACATCAGTTGTGCGCCAAATTTTCGGGCGAATATATAGTAATGTTATATTTCTAAGAAAAGTCCCTTTCTCGCGCGTGTACGACCACTCCTTGCCTCACAGTTGGCTGACCACCAGTGACGTGGAAGGGGAGTGGCACACACGTGCCCCCATCGGTTCAAGTCACTCGAGCCTTTGCTCGCAGCTACTCCCCGACTACGCTTCCGACCCGCTTGCGGGCCCAGCTGGCCAGCGGGTCCCCCCATTTTGCAATATTTTTATTTTTATTTCTTGTTCTTCATTTATCTCAAAAGTAAGACTGTAAAAATCGTATAAAATCACATAATTACCCAAAAATTCACGTTAATCAACTGAAAAACCACTTTTCACACTTTAACACAAATATAAGTCTATTTATCATGAGTTAAGGCTAAAACTATATTATTTACTAATTATTAACTCATGATAATGAAGACTTGTCAGTGGCCAATCGGTCATGGGGCAAGGGGCGCCTGTACATGCATGCGCACGCGAGGGTGGACCACCTTATTGCCTTCTCCCAAGATGATCCATCGGCAGTTCGCGAATCTGACACTACTCAGCACGCACATGGCCTTGAAGGATGATCTGACGGTTATGGAGATGCCATGGTACTAGGAACTTAAGTTCTCGATCGGCAACGGTTCATAGTGAGTTGATCCTGTGTCACTTAGCGTGCCACATACTAAGCTCATCTGATCCAACAGCTCTTGAAGCACCACAATACCAAGAACTTAAGTTCTCGCACATATCACCATTAGGGACATAAAGACAATAATTGATTATTATCTAGTAAAACAAGTATTATCAATTATCTTTAAAATCTCGACAATAGTCGTAAATATGGTAATCCATTCTTCCCTCCTTTTGCATGATCGACGTCTCCAACAATTGACAAGCTTCTTCCTTCCTCCTCTGACTACACTCAAGGCCTTCGGCGAGTGGTCAGCTCTTCCCTTCTCCCCCCAGATGACGATGATACCATGGTTGACCCCTCTTTTGGTGGATCTGTCTGGTAAGCAACATAGTGCTTTTGGACAATACTTAAGCAACTTCCAACATGATGTGACATGACTAGATGAAACCAAGCCACTACACTAGTGTCTCTAGTTGATCAGGAGGCAGACTAAACTTGGGCAATGATTTATTTCCTATTTTCAGCATTTACTTGCTTTTATGATTTATTTACATTTTATGGTAAGTTCTCTCCATTTCATGCACTTTCGATTGAAATGAGTAGAACTAATTCAAAACTTGATAAATGATCTTCATTCTTCTTCTAAATCTTCCGAAACTCGTCTTAGATTAAGCTAAGATTATTTTCAACTTATTTCCTATTGCTTTTCACGGTCAAATCTCGACATATTCATGTTCCTAGTGTTCTGCAAATAACAAGTAGTGTTTTTGTTTTCGAACGTGAAATTAGCAAGATTAAAGACTGATTAATAAGGATTCAATGCTTAAAATAAGTTGAAGACATTTACAGCTGATCTCATGTCATGTGTGTGAATCCTCGAGCACAGGTTCATTCAAGAAAACGGGTTGACCATATTTCTCTCTCTCTCTCGTGAGACCTCTCTTCTCTCTTCATCTCTCATGAGATCTCTCCCTTTCTCTCGATCGATCTCCTTCTCTTTCTCCCCTTTTTGCAAAAGATCTCATCCCTTCTCTCTCTCGTGAGAACTCTCTCCCATCGCAAGAGATCTCATCCCTTCTCTCTCTCATGAGAGCTTTCTCTCCTCCTCTCTCTTTCTCTCCCTTTCACAAGAGATCTCATCCTTTCTCTCTTCTGTGAGAGGTCTCTCTTCTTTCTCTCTTTTCCTCCTTCCTTTTCTCCGTTTCCCTTTACTCTTCTCACCTCACCCTTCTATTTTATTATTTCTGTTAGATATTAATAAAATATTAAAATCACTTTATATAGAAATTAAATTAGTTTTCATGACAGATTAATCAATCTCCTTGTATTTGACCTGAGACTTACTTCTATACTAATATTTTATTAAGTCTTAGTTATAAATAGCGTGTATTTAAACACAACGACAAGTGCACACTAAGGTGTCACCCAACCAAGGGTAGATTGTGAATAGTCATTTATATTCACTAGAGGAACCTATGTAGTATAAATGAAAACTCGAAATGTATCATTTAATGCTCATGACTTGGAATGTTAGGGCATTCAAGTTAAGTTACTATTTTCTATGCATAGATTCTCAACAAACAAAAATTCTTTACTGCCAACATTAGCCTTGAAAAGAAGGCATCATGACTTGGTGATAAACTCGAATTAGAGGTTAAATGCGTTGTTGTGATGCAACTAAGTTCATGTAAATAATATTTATAAAACCTCACTCTTCTATTTAGGATAAGTAAGGATTGATCCTCAAGGAGCGTGGGTAATGAAAGTATGAATTCTACTTATTTTACTTCTTATATCGATATATATATATATACGTGAGATTATAGAGGGCAGAATTAAATGTAAAAGGGTGAAGATAATAGTTATGAAAAGTATGACGAAGGAGAAATAATAGATCTAACGTAATAGAATAATAGAATAAATAATAAAATTAGTTTGAATTAAAAGTTAATCTATCCATGGAGAGGATTATAAGGACGTCAAAATCTGTATCTTGCACAAACCTCATTGTGCACTAGTCCTAGGTTGATTGATGCTCAATCTTTGACGATCTTGATGTACTCCAAGTAATCTCTTGTCCACAATGATCTTGGGCACAAGAATGCCGTTGATCAGGCCTTGATTTTCCTCCTGTTTTCTTCGGCTAGCCACTGCTAAAGAGAGAGCCAAAAAGCACCCTCCAAGAGGATTAAGATTAAGATGCCTTTATCTTCTTGAGAGTTAGGCCCCTCTAATGGACGATTAAGATTAATAACTGACTCTCTTGGTGGACGGCCCAGATCATTCAATGAGGGCAGTGCTCTAATCTTTCTCTTAATCACATTTTAAGGTGCTCTAAGATGAACAACCTAGATCTTATCTCTTGATAACTCTTTAAGGTCAAAATTGGCTAGACCAAAGTGATGTCCTCTCTTAAGTCCATAAACATATTAAGCCAGCCCTCTCTTAGGTCCATAAACATATTAGTAGTTGGAAGCACAGTCAGGGAGTAGCCGCGAGCAGGGGCTTGAGCGACTTGGACCGATAGGGGCACGTGTGCGCCACCCCCCTTCCACATCACCAGTGGCCAGCCGGCTGTGGGGCAAGGAGTGGTCGTACACACGTGAGAAAGGGACTTGATTAGAAATGTAATATTACTATATATTCACTAGACACTTCGCCACACAAGCGATGTGGGATTAAACCCGCGTCACACCTTCCCCAAAAAGGGCAGACAACCGGCGTGGGTTTGAATCCTCCTAGAGCCAAAACTCATATTTTTTATTTGATTATTGCGACTTTCCTGCAGATCACTGGTGAAGGATTAAGCAACCAAAATCGCTAGATCATTGGCAAAAATCTCATCAACGCAATTCGCAGAAAATTGCTGAATGATTCGCGATAAAAGGATTGCAAATCCATCGAGTAAAATATCTTCGATTGATCGACGAACAAGCTGTCGTCGGGAAGAGGACGATCCGCCAGGAGATGAGTTGCCACCTCCTGAGAGTGTACCGGATGTGATGAAGAGCCTCCTCTTGCCGGGGGGAACTAAGGATGAAGCTCCCTGACACGTGCCCCACCTCCATCCAGCTCCTCTCCATTGGGTGACAGCCACTGGAGAGTTGAAAAGTCACTATTTTTCCACTCTGTCGGGTGACAGTTACCGGAGATGATTCGACGACCCATTTTATTGATCTCTAGACTTCGCAAGGAGATCTAGAGATTGCCCATGTTTGTCCAAGAAGAGCCTTTGAGACCGTAGATACTACATGACGATCCTCTTGAATGCTCAAGATTCTGGTGCATCGCTGATGATGGCCGCCGCGACACCAGAACTCTGTTTTCTTACTTTTAACTTAATTTCCATTTCATTTAGTGTTAATTTGTTGATTTTAAATTTACCAACCTATACTTCATTCAATTACGATTCTTCTGGCTTTTACAAATCTTAATTTGACCAATTAAATCGTCTGTAATCGCTTATGTAAGAATCGTCGGGCGGAACTCTGTTTCTGCTTGATTCGCGTTCGCTAGGTGCTGACATCATCCTAACCTCTACACCCTTATTTTCCTTTTTCATGAATTTTAATTATATTTCTTTTTTATTTCCTAGTATAAAATTCATAGAAAATAGTATTCTTTGAGGAAAATTCTGAATAATTACCAGATATTAAGTTACATCCCTTTGATTGACCTGAAAAATTATCACTTTTTTTAAAAGTTTTATTGAATTATAATTGATATATTTGTTTAGAAATACTTCTAAATATCTGAAAAATCATATTTTCTAGTTTTATAAATTTAAAATTTGTGTGATTTACTATACAACGACTAAGTTACGTCAATATTAATGCATAGATGCACTACTAACTTGTAATTATCACTTCGTCACTAAGTATTGAGAAGAATTCAATCTTAAGGCAATAGTCATTGGAGATCTTCTCCAATATGTTCTCAATGCTACCTTTTTCAAGGAGTTACAAAATAATATTCAAATTGAGGTATGTCTCCTTGAGCAAATAGACTAAAGGCAATTATGAAATTGTCTCAAAAAGTTTAGATAAAATTCAGCACCATCTATAGCCTCAATTACATCAAAAGAATTACCTGAATTTTTTT